CCCTCTGAAATTTCATAATAAACTATTCCAACCTTTGAATTGGAAGGGTTCAAATGCATCTTCAGGGGTGAATAAGTTAAACTCTGCCTTTAAATCCAACTCTGTGTCAGTATACTGGTGAATTTCCATAGTAATCACGCTTAAGTGCAAAATACCATTACCAGAGTACTGAACACAGGTGGTTTTTTAATATAATGAAAACAATGGACATAAATGTGATGGGTACAGCCAATGGTCACTGTTGGATTTTAAATGTTTGGTTGAAATTGTTAGAGTTGGAATTTAAATTTTCTAAAATTGACCAATGTCAGTGGTTTGTTATTTATTAATATTAGATCATACAGGAATATTATAAAAATTTATGTTAGAATTAATGAAATATAAAATTAGTTTAAAATCAAGAAATCAACTAAATTAATAAAATACAGATAAAATCAAGTGAAAAGAACCAAATTGAAAGCCTGTAAAGTGAGCAGTATAGAGTAGGTATGATATAGATACACTGATGTAGTAGCAAGGTAGTTGACAGTAACCAGAGTGTAGAACTTTATTTTTAATGCTATGTCCAAAATAATTATATTTACATTTGCTCTTCATCCTTCCATTGAAATGTATTGAGAAGGCAAATGCTGTTATGAGACTATAACAACATTCGCTAATGTAACGTCATCAATCTCTATTGTGACGTCATCAATCTCTATTGTGGCGTCATCAATTTCATTGTTGTCAATACTTAATTTGCTGTTAAGAGAACTGTTCGAAATAACTAAATAAAGTGTAACTCCTCTATCAAAATGTAAATATAAATAATGAATATTTTAGCAAATATTGTTATGGTCCTATAACACCCATTTCTATTGCAGACAAACTTACACATAAAGTCCTATCACTATTACATAAAGCACTGCCTGGCTTTATTAAGTTTGTCATCAATAGCAATGAGTGTTATAGGACCATAACAACATTTGCTAAAACATTAATTGCTTAATTATAATCCTCTGGCATTATTGCAAAATTATCACAAGAAGCACTAAATAGGCCTCACCCTTATGTCACTTCCATATTGGATAACAGGAAGATACCTATTTTGTTATAATAATAATATTGATAATTCAAGGTTCTTATATACCTATTTATTACAACAAAGTTCGTAGGTCGTTCCAAAGAGGTTCACAAATTATTATCCGTAGTTATAGAGCCTTTGCAACCAACCAGCCAATATCGTTCTCAACTCCCTGAGGAGCATACAGCCAGTGCTGTCATTTCGGCACTCACAGCTAGCATTCAACAATTCTAGCACTTCCCAACCACATACTCATTTACAGCTGAGTAGACTGGAACAAGCAGAGAAAAGTATCTTGTTCAAAAGATACAACACAATGCTGTGATGTGACTCGAACCAGTAACCCTTTGGTCACCAGCCCGGCGTCCTACCACTAGACAGCCCTGCCTCCTAACAGGAAGATACCTGTTTCTTTCTGTTCCCTGTAGGAACTTTGTGACATATGTTATTACAGGATTTATATTTTTTTCTGATTTTGCAATATGTCCATTTTTATTTTCCCATATTTTTAACAGCTATATTTCTAAGTTCTAATTTTTATCAAATCATTCTCTACATAATGAGGTTGCATTTTCCATTGTTGTTATGTAACAAATTACCAAAAAAATATGTCAGATCAGCCAATCATGGTCCTATGACTGTATTTTTGACATTTATTGCAGATACTACCACAAACGGAGTGACACCCATGCTGTCAACTACCTTGAAAGTGCCTCAGGTATATATAAATATATTACAACAATAATGCAGTTAATTTTGACAGACATTACCAATAGTCGACAGACATCACAGAATCTGATTAGTTGCAGATTTAGGTGAATAAAAATTAAAAAACATTTTATAAATAAATGGATTTGATGAGATGATTCATGTATAAATTTCTACAAAGAAGATAAAGCATCAGTTTGATAGGTCTTAGGCATAGTACAAGAATGATGAGAACACCCTATAGATAACTGTGGCTTACAGCTCTACAAGCCTATATAGTCTACCTCTCGTTTGGCCGCTCTGTGCTGTAGAGTGGGCCAGTCGGGGATTAAGTCTACGAGAGATGCCCTACGCTGCTGCATTGATGTGCGCCGCTGCTGTTCCATAGCCTCAAGTTTATCTACGCTGGGTTTCATCACTGGGAGAGGGATATCAAGGTTGTCCATGGACTGGCGTCTACTGGAGTCTTTCTGTACATAGAGTAATACAATACCCGTAAAGCTAGGTAAATCAGCAATGTCCTAACCTAGAGGGTCTGGGCCCAGTGTTAGGATTGATACCCGCTATCACCAGTAAGGTAATATACACCTAGAGGGTCTGGGCCCAGTGTGAGGATACATACCCGCTATCACCAGTAAGGTACTACAAAACATTTCTATAGAAGAACCATGGAAAATCTTAATGAGAGTATTGTGAAAATTCCTATTACAAATTTTTAACACAAAAAAAAGTGTGGGCAATTCTAATAAGAAAAAGAGTAATCCTAATATAATAACTATTAGAATTGCGGGTAATCCTAAATATGTGGTAATACTAATAGCAAAAGTGTGGGTATAATTCATATAATAAGTGTGGGTAATTTAAAAAAAAAAAAACATGGGTAATTTTTAAAAAGGATGGGTAATCCTAATATGTAATATTGTGGGTAATTATAAACAAAAAAACAGGTAAATAATAATAGAGAAAAATGTGGGAACTATAATCCTAATAAAAAGGTAGGTAATCCTTATAAAAATTGTGTAATATTAATGGAGAAAAGATGGGAAATCCTTATAAAAAATTGTGTAATATTAATGGAGAAAAGATGGGAAATCCTTATAAAAAACTGTGTGATTAATTGAGAAAAAGGTGGTAATACTTATAAAAATGGTTTAATATTAACGGAGAAAAAGATGGGTAATCTTTATAAAAAAATGGTGGGATTTTTTAACAGAGAAAAAGATGGATAATCCTTATAAAGAATTGTGTAATATTAATGGAGAAAAAGATGGGTAATATTTATAAAAAATGGTGGGGGGTTTTAACGGAGAAAAAGATGTGTAATCCTTATAAAAAAATGGTGGGGGCTTTTAACAGAGAAAAAGATTGGTAATCCTGATAAAAAATGGCGTAATATTAACGGAAAAAAAGGTAGGTAATCCTAATAAAAAATTGTGTAATATTAAAAACACGGAGAAAAAGATGGGTAATCCTTATAAATAATTGTGTAATATTAATGGAAAAAAAGATGGGTAATCTTTATAAAAAATAGTGGGGGGTTTTAACAGAGAAAAAGATGGGTAATCCTTATAAAAAAAATGGTGGGGGCTTTTAACGGAAAAAAAGATTGGTAATCCTGATAAAAAATGGCGTAATATTAACGGAGAAAAAGGTTGGTAATCCTTATAATAAATTGTGTAATATTAATGGAGAAAAAGATGGGTAATCCTTATTATAAATGGTGTAATATTAATGGAGAAAAGGTGGGAAATCCTTATAAAAATTGTGTAATATTTATGGAGAAAATGGTGGGTAATCTTTATAAAAATTGTGTAATATTAATGGAGAAAAAGGTTGGTAATCCTTATAAAAATTGTGTAATATTTATGGTGAAAACGGTGGGTAATACAAAGTGTTAGCTAAGTCATGAAAGATTAATTCTTATAGAAAATACTTAACTCATTCACCCCTGAAGACACACTTGAACTCTTCCAATTCAAAGGTTGGAAGAGTTCATTATGAAATTTTAGAGGTGAATGAGTTAATTAAACAGAGAATCATTAAGAAAAGTATGGATAATCCTAACAGAAAAAGAAATTCCTTAAAGAAAAAGAGGGGTTATGCTAATAGAAACAGAGTGGGTATAACTGTCTATAACTATACCTTTATATAAGAATCTAAGTACTCCCAAAGGAAGATTTAGGGCATAACATTTGAAGCGCAGACTTTTCATCTTGGTAGTAAAATACGGAAGTATTGATCCCCTGAGAATGTGAAATATATAGCATTGAGCATGAGAAATGGATTGAGGTGGGGAGGGTCAAAGGATTGCAAATTAAAATAAACTCAGTGACAGGCCAATCTTGTGCAATTTGTCAAGTTTGGCCTTCAATGATCATGTTAAATTTGAGTTTTGTTTTCAACAAAAAATAACAAGCGAAATTTAAAATTATAAGTTAAAATTTTGTTCCTACAAAATAAGATGAAGGAACAAAATACTTATTATTTCAAAAATCATCAATTAATGAAAACATTTTAACAGAATTTCCTAGAGCCAGGTAAAAATGCAATAAAAAGAAACATAAGATTTGGCATACAACTTTCATATACATTGATTGTATACATGAAAAGCTGGGAGGAACCGGGGTAAATATCCTCAGGCAGTAGAGTAAGTCAATATGATCAAACAACCTATTGTGCAATAAAGGGCAATAGATAGTATAACATCATGCTGATACATCGCCATTTTGAAATAGTAAAATGATTTGTGCTGTAATAACATAACACTACAAATCTGTGTACAGTATGTGCGTAACACATACCAATAGTGCTGTGGAAGAATCTCCCAAATCAACATGCATCTTCATACTTTCTCGAAATGGCAAAAACCACAGGCAAAGATAGCGTTGTCAAGATTCTTGGTAACCATGACAACTATATCATTGCATAATAATCAAAAATCCAATATGGTAACAACAACTAAAAATAAAAGTAAAAAAAACAGAAGATCAAAGATCAACTGATCAGCAAACAAAGATGACCTAAAAGAAAAAGGAATGTCATCAAAACAACTTTGTGTAAAACCAAATAAATCATCAATGCAAACAGGTGTATGGTATATAGAAATCAACAACAATGCTGTAACAATGCTCCACTAGCCATCCTCTAAACGACAGTTATCTGCCCCTTACTCGTGACAGTTATCTGCCCTTCATTGAGGCAGACAATTTCTACACTGTCTCAGACATGCCTTATGTTTTCCAAAGCTCTTGAGATGGACACCAAAGTCTACGATGCCTTCATCCTGGTCCTTCCCTTTTCTTCCCTTCAGCGTTACACCAAACATCTGCTGGGCCTGTTCCGTAGTGGACTCCTTCTTCTTCTTATCCGTCTTCTGACCTTTGTCGCCCGATGTCTTTTCCTCCAGCTCCAGTTTACTAATAGAGGACTTTTTAAGCTTGACGAATGGACCAGTTTGAGATTCAGCATCACCAGGGATAAGGGACCTTTTTGGTTTGAGGAATGGACCTGATGGCCCACTATCCTCTTCAGCTCCAACTGAAGTTTTTTTCGATGTTGCTTCTTGTTTCGGAACTTTTTTCAGAGTGACAGTTTCTTCCTCTGCCTCAGCTGCTGGTATCTTTCCCTTGCCTATTTTCAACTTTGACTGCTCTACCTCAACTGTTTCAACTGAGGCCCTTTTGGTCATTTTCATGGTAGAGGTGGCCTGCTCTATCGTCAATGATTCGACAGAGGCCCTTTTCTGAGCCATGCTGACACTCTCAAAGGCAGTTCTTTCCACTTTATCAATTAATAACGAGCCTCTCCTTGAGGAAGTCTGGCTACCCGGCTTTAATTTGAGAAAACATTCAGTTTGACAAGCAAAACGATAAACTGACAAACAGTGGGGAAGGGAGTGCCATGGTTTTATTCTGAGATTTAATATGGTGCTTAGTTATTATTAGTAATAATTATTCTCTTTTTTTTTCTGTAAATCAACCTTAAAATGTTCATATTCCTTAAACTGAATGCAGAAAACAGACTATATTAGCCCCTGGTCAAGGGCAGTGACCTTTCATGTAGTGATATTGCTCTGGTTCCTGGTTCAAGGCTAGGAACTGAATCTTCTACACATGATAAACTTGTCTGAAGCCAGGTCTAAAGCATTCACAGGATATAACCTTCGTCGAAACTTTTATATATGGCAATGACATCTATATGATGACTTTTGACATCTTCAGACGTGATATTTGTCTGAACCTCATAATTCAGGGTAATTGTGCTTTATCAAACAATTTTTAAACTAGTTTACTGATTGGCTACGATTACTGATGACTCTTGTAGCCTTTCGCCATAGCAACCAAACCTATTTATAGCAGTGAGCATACAAAAAGATTTTAAAAAGTCAGTCCTAGAGGTTAAAACTGATACTGTACAATACTTTTGTTGAAGACAAGTGTAAAGCAACTCCAGTAAACCAGACATTTAATGAATCTGTATATTCCGTGACCTTGACCTCTGACAAACTAATTTTGAGAAGATATATAAACACATTAAGATATATAAACAATTCTTTTAAAAGACAAACAGCAAAAAAATCATTGCTGAAACAAAAATCTTGATTATTAATATTATTATTAGTTTACAGGTATAATTATCTAATTTGATTTCTGTTAATATATGGTATGCTCTGAATACAATTAGTACACAAAATGTTTACTATTAACATATCAAGATATTTAATATACATGATTATGATAATACAAACAATTATTGTAGCAAACGACATCAGCCCTGACAACTTTACCTTTTCATCCTCGCTGTCACTTCCCGTCTTCTCGATTTTCTTCAGGTTTGCCTTCATCATCTCAATCTGGGAGGGACGTCTCTTTTTGTCGACTGTAAACAGACACCGCAGAGAGTCATAACTTCACTAATTATGCAGGGCTAAGATCTCAAAAATACATAAAGGCTCATGACATTGAAGAGATAAAATATTTCCTTACAGTCTATATTTTACATATCTTAGATCACTATACTGTTAAAACTTTCCAGTCATTGAAATTCTAGAGAATATCTAACTTCAGCAATATCTGTCGATTGGAGCCACAAAACTTTCGTTTAAAATCAGTGTCTAAATTTATTAACAATTTTTGATGGTACCAGACTTTGAACAGATAGTTACAGTCTAGGTGTGAGAATTTAGAAATCAGATCAAGCTAGCATACTTGTATCACCATTCAACCAGCATTTACATTATCATTCCAAGAAATATTCAAATTTGACCTATTGGCAAAACATTTGAATTGATACACTGAATGGCAAATGTGATGCATTAAACATTTGTTTTAATGAAATATTCTAAAAAGAAAAAGTCTGTAATAAATCATGAAGTCTGTAGCCGTCTGAATTCATGACACAAGTATGTCCTTGGTTTTTCGTGACGTACTGATGACCGTAACTACTATATGGTATTTTGACGGATCCCGGTTCCCGGATCCCGGATCTCGGTTCACGTCAAACCATTACAATTGGGTTATGGTACTTTTTCCACAACTATTAGTCTTTCCATGTGTATTGATATCTATAATTCACCAATAACGACAGAGACGAGTTCTAACACACATTAGTTCTATACAAATGTGATCTCTAAATACACACTAGATCTATTGTAATCGGTTAACACTAGGACTACATGGCAATGTTCAGCCTACATGTTAAAACGCATTATGGCAGTAATATCGCTATGTCTTTAACGTGTGTGCGACAGCCTAACATCAACTATGTTCGTTTTCTGTGCGCGCTCAAATGGACATCAAATGTCCTTTTGATTACAAGCAAACGAGAAATCACATCACAATATAAGCAAAGCTGTCTAACATGTACACTCGGTATCTTTGATGGAGACATCCTTCAGTTAACATGTTTGTTTTTCTTTAATTTTAAATATTCTTAAACCCTGAATCAATATAAATTCACCTAAGTTATTAAATTGTAAAGATGTTATATCTAAGTTGTTTTCTGGGAGTGACAACTATATCTGTTTCAAAAAGAAAAAAATAATACCATAAAGTTTATGCAATATATGCAATCATAAATTATGCAAGGAAAACAAGACATTATCGTATATTGTATTGCACATAATGATATCATATCTTACTGATACAAGCTTTTAGAACTAAAGCATGCTGCCAGCACAGACTCTACAGAGCTGACTCTAAGATCATATCACAATACTCGTGTAAATAGTGGTAAGAAGACTTTGTAATATGTCACTATAGATCTTCTCATCCATTTTTTTATTTATAATCAAACGTGTTTACATAAGAAACAGTTATGAAGTTATGCAGAATTAGTTATAAACTTTCATTTTCACACAAAACATAACATATAAATAGAGACAGAAAGAGAGAACTCCTTATAATGTAGATAACCTACTAGTAAATTTCTAAGAGAGAGAGTGAGAGAGAGAGAAAGGAGAAGGGAGGTAAAAAAGCCTCCTCATAATAGAAAACCTAATAGTAATTTTCTAAGAGAGAGACAGAGAGAGTTTATAAAGCTTACTTGTAATAAAGATACAATGATGTAACCTCCTTATACTTTTCTGAGAGAGAGATAACCTCCTTTTAATATAGATAATCTACTTGTAATGTTCTAAGAGAGAGAGAGAGAGAGAGAGAGAGACAGACAGACAGACAGACAGACAGACAGACAGACAGAGACAGATTTGAAAGCCTCCTTATAATAGATAACCTACTCGTTATTTTCTAAGAGAGAGAGAGAGAGAGAGAGAGGGTGACAGAGACAGATCCAAAGCCTCCTTATAATAGATAACCTACTAGTTATTTTCTAAGAGAGAGAGAGAGAGAGAGAGCTCATAAAGCCTACTTATAATATAGATACAATGCAGCTCCTTGTACTTTTCTAAGAAAGACAGATAGAAACAGAGAGCTTCTTTATAATATGGATACTTGTAACCTACTAGTATTTTTTTAACAAAACTTATGTCTATAAATTATTGACATGTTAAACAATTTCTAAATTTCAAGGCATTTATCAGAAGGAAAAGAAACAGAAACCAAAAACAAAAGCTGTCTTTTAGAAGATATTTGATCAGAAGTCTAGTGTCTGAAGTACTCTAAATAACTGAAAGTGTATATTAAAAGTCTTCTATCACCTTTTGCTGTATCATGAATTTTAATGGAACATTAAATATAGAATCCTGATCTAATGGCCATTAATTGCTACACAAGACACACTAACACAGCACAACACAGCGCAATGCAACTGAAAAAGAAATGACGCTTCTAGCGCAACGCCAAATCGCACGCTTTTACTATATCCGGGTGTTTGGAACGTACAGTTGCCATCTGAAAAAATAATGCGCATGTTGGATATTATAATGAAAGTATTAGGGAAAACAAACATCAAAATTTTAAAAGAATGTTCAAGCGATTTATTATGTTGTGCTGGGTACATTTTAGTCATACAGATTGGTTAAGAAATATGGTGAAGAGGTAGAAAAAGTAGGATATTGGTTGACAGAGTATCAGATATATATCAATAAAGTCAAGACCAGAGGCTAAAATCAAGAACACAGTAAACTTATTGGGTTTTGTTATTTAATTTGAAGCCTTTCAGCATTCAAATAAAGGAATCTCAACAAATTCATAGTTATAAGAGATCAAGAATAACAATGAAGATTTAACAAATGTTCTGTAGGAGTGCAATGAAATGGTATAAGGTCGGTATCTGGTGCCGAGAGAGGTGCTTACAAAGGGAAATAACTCTAATATTAATCCTACCTGGCTTGAGATTTCCCCAGTCCGGGTCCTCCTCTGAGCTGTCCTTCTTCTTCTTTTGCCTTCATAGAGATTTGTACAGTAAAGGATCATAACAGTGCTCCAGGTCAAGGACGAGGAATAAAGGAAATGCTAAATTCAAATTTATACATAGTCGAACCCTATGTAAAACATTTTCTTTCATTATAGCTGGTGTTCAATGATTCAAGGTTCTTATATACCACTTTATCACAATCTAGTCAATAGGTAGTCTCGAGGTGAAACCTTCACAGATTATTATCCGTGGTTATAGGGCCTTTGCAACCAGCCAACATATAGCTGGTGCTGCCATTTCGGTGCTCACAGCCAGCATTCAACTATTCTAGCACTGCCTAACCATGTACTCATTTACAGCTGGAAATATGAAATGAGAATGATCTCCCTCATTGAAGGTTTCAGAGGTTGACACCTACATGTATGCAGCCAGGGATTTTATTTATATCAAATTAAGCAGTATTTCAATATATTGAAGATCAATTTAAGTGGTTTGACTGTACCACATTATGAATAGACAGCAATAGTCAATGTTAAAATAACTGGTTCAATGCCTAGATAATTGATGGAATAAAAGACCATGAAACCTTCTTGACTGTCAAAAGGAAATGTATTTGAATACAACTACAGATACTGTAAAAGCATAATATTTTGTTGCAGATCTAATTTTGTATATTTTGTGGCAAAATCCCAACAATTTTTTTAAACACGCGAGATATAAACAGATTTGACCGATACCCATCGAGTGAGTAGATCACGCCCGATCTTAAATACCTGTACTATATTTAAATGCACTGTGTCGTCACGCCTGTCAATTTAAACTTCTTACTTTCCAGAAAAAAATACAGGGTTTAAAAATATTGATTTCACTGAATATAATCCCAACAAATTTGTCCCCATACAAATACAATGAAAATACATGCTTTTACAGTATACCATATTTCTAGAAGACTGGGACCTACCTATGTTTCAAAAGGTTCCTGAAGTCCAAGCTGGAGTCTTTGGGATCTACAATGGGAGAAGGTCACAGAGGTCAACCTTCATGCACTCCTGCATGCAATCACTTCCATGTGCTTGTCTGTTCCTTGAGACCAGGCGGCCATGCCACATATCCTCTATCTACTCCAAACTCACACTGATCCTAACATGGGCTACAGTGTTTTAGGGTATGGCTAGGTCTAATTCATCAGTGTTAGTGTAAAAGTATTCATGTACCACTGTTTCTACACTTAGTTTCATTGGTAAGCTATGTTGTTGACATAAGGAAGAAAACACATGATGACTATAATTTGTAACAAAACCAGATACAATACCCAACACTCATTTATCCTATTTCAAAACACAAATCAAAACTTTGCTTTGATTTTGGCAACATGTATAACGTCTTTGCGTATTGCAGAGTTATCTTCTCTTGTGAGCAGGTATTGATTGTTACATCATTGGTCTGTGTGAGAAAATTACGTCATTTTCTCAAAAACTGATGACGTTACTCTCACAAAAAAATGTCGTAACAATCAATACCTGCTCACAAGAGCAGATAACTCTGCAATACGAAAAGACGGAATACTCATGTTACGATAGTTTAGAAATTATTGAAGGTTAAATCAAACTTCGAAATCTTTGCTGTTATATCAAGATCTGATAAAATAGGGATAAGGTCATATTTTTGTGATATCCAATCAGAAATGTGTCCTCACTCAGGTCTCTCATATGACAAAATCCCCTAAGGCCTTTTGGTATTTCAGAAGAAGTTTTATAAAGGTGATGACAAATTTGACCCCTGTGGCCTTGAAATTGAGTCAATGTCATTCATTTGAACAAATTTGATAACCCTTAATTCCAGCATGCTACTGGCCAAATATCATCACACTAGGCCTATTGGTTATTCAGAAGAATTCATTTGAAGGTTGATCCCATTTGATCCCTGTGACCTTGGAAGTGGATAAAGGATCAAGGTAATTCATTTGAACAAACTTAATATCCCTTCATTCCAGCTTTTTATTGCCCACCTATCATCATCCTGGGCATCTTGGTTATTCAGTAATTTAATGTCTAAACACATTTGATTTGTTCCTATAACCTTGAAAATGGGCCAAGATCATTCCTTTGAACAAACTTACAAGCCCTTTACCCCAGCACGCATCTAGTTAGTTAACTTTTGCCATGTGATAATATGCGACCTTAAAATTGGCCTTGGGTGTTATGATACCATATTCCTTAATTCATTCACCCCTGAAGACACATTTGAACTCTTCCAATTAAAAGATTGGAATAGTTCATTATGAAATTTCAGGGGTGAATGAGTTAAAGTAAACTTTGGCCCATGACACTGTGTATCCTGAAGTTGACCTTAACCTTCTGATAACCTGTGACCTTATAATTGAAGGTGTCGGGTGATGTCAGGTATTGTATCTTCTACTGAAATGGCAGTCCTACTACCACATTCTATAACATTTACATAAAGAGTCTATATCATATACACATAACACACAAATATAAAGTCTATCTTGCACAACAATTAACACATCTTAACAACACACTTTCTAACAGTCAGACAACTGATAACTATTAGATACATCTTATTTATTATTTCATATTCAAATCATCTATATTATAATGAACCATAATACACCATAGAAATCAGCAATATAATCCACTTACAAATAACGATTTTAAAAGTATTTTTGAAATTTGATTTTTTTTTTTTCAAAAATTGATTTCAGTGTGGATCTTTATTTTGGTTCAACTTAATTACCAAGGTAACTAATCCAAAATTACGATCCAATCAACACACAAAGTTCAGCAAATCATACTGTGAATAAAATCAACATGAAAACAAACTGATATGTCACACCAAAACACCAATCACAGATATCAAACAAAATTTTCAAATGTAAATTCAAACTGAATGCCATAAAGCCTCATCTTATTCCAAAATGTTAGAAACAGGAGAAAAATAGTTTCTAAATAATAATAAATAAATCTCTGAAATAAATAATGGCATAATTAGCATCTCCAAATTAAGTCTAATGAAATAGAGCAATTGAACAATTGAATAATGACAAGGACCTTTTACAAAGACGCTCCATGTAATTTCGTCGACTTTGACGCCATCTTGCATGAGTTGGGCTGTATATTTGGCCTCGTCTGCAAATCTTGATTTTTGCATTACAAATTTTGCTGAAGCCTTTCCCTGCACAATGTTGGTGCGGGAGTCATTCTTCATTTCACGCTTTCCCTTCATGAACCGCACGACAGGCGATGCAGCTCCATCTTGAACATTGATCTCAAGGTCGACTTGGATAGGGTCACCTGGTCAAGAAAAACAAAACATAACTTGAAAGCGAAATTCACTGAAACTCTTTGTATAGTTACACATCTATTTTGAGCAAGCACCGGTGCCTAAGAATGACACAGTGGCCTATTGACAACAGTCACACACCAAAACAAGAGTGAGATAGGTAATAATGACAAGTATACAAGTGGAATGTATTGGTATACAAGTTGAGTACATTGTTTCAAGCGTATTGTATTGATATAACAGATAATTTCTTAAAAAAACACTGATACTGGTTGTTAACTCATTCATCCCTGAGGACACATTTGAACTCTTCCAATCCAAAGGTTGGAATAGTTCATTATGAAATTTCAGGGGTGAATGAGTTTATATTGGTCTATTTTGGCCTACAACAATGAAGTGTTGGGCTTACCTTCCACAATGACTTGATTTTCCAACTTGTTAGCGAAGGTGTGCGTAGGACCATCAACCTTGATCGGCTTCTGGATCTTTTTTGGCCCCTCCGGTTCGTAGCCATCATCCTGCTAAGTATCCAAACAGTATGTAGACTTAATATGGGATACATATACTTTAATGTATATATATATATATACATAATAATATTTACATTAGCTCTGCATCCGTCCATTTCAATACATTGAGAAGGCAAATGATGTTGTGAGACTATTACAACATTTGCTTTTGTAACGTCGGCAATCCCTTTGTGATGTGATCAATTTCATTGCTGTCAAGAACTAAATAACTAAATATAGCTTAACTATTCTATCAAAATGGAAAAAATGAACATTTTAGCAAATATTGTTATGGTCCTATAACACCCATTTCTATTGCAGACAAGGTCACATTAAGCCCTAGCTATCTCTATTACATAAAGCCCGGCCTGGCTTTATTAAATTTGTCATCAATAGCACTGTGTGTTGTAGGACCATAATTACATTTGCTAAAAGATTCATTGCTAAAGTAATAATACTGATAGATTTTATTTAAATTTGATAACACTGAATCATCTCACATTACAACAATAGAAATTGTTTCTGATTGACATTAACTCATTTATCCCTGAAGATACATTTTGAACTCTTCCAATTCAAAAGTTGGAATAGTTCATTATGAAATTTCAGGAGTAAAATGAGTTAAAATGAAATATGGACACCCGTGTAAGCTAACATTCCCTGCTAGGCATAAAGTTTCAACTCCATATCGTAAAATCAATGTATGTTTTACGAAAAAAAGTTTTTTTTATGTGAAGTCATTCACTAATTATTTTTTGCTCTCAGCCTTAGTAAAATAACAAATCTGTCCTCACCTTCGCAGCACTGGTTTGCTCTGGAAGAAAGAAAACAATTAACTAAATTAGCCAACAGGACAAGTTTCCATGTGTCACTACATCTACACGGGAAATTGGCAATTAAAGCACTTGTAACATTTCAGTTTTATTGATAACAATAGTACCTCTTTATTAGACTTTTATTCAATTGCTTAAAATAGCAGCAGGAACAACATCAACAAGAAATAAACAGATTATCCTTTTGATCAAAATTAAGTTGGTGTTTTCTTCTGTATATACAGAAGTTATCTTTCAGAGAAATGTTTCGATTATTTCATATTTACTCGTTGATTCAGTAAGGTTCAAATTTAACTTTAGGGGTGAATGGGTTAAAGAAAGCTAACTCTTAAAAGTTGACTTTTTCTTTTTAAAGACTGAAGTTTTTTTGAATAAATGAATTACCGACTTATTATTCAGATGAACTGTGTTCTGCAATTAAGATCATCAGCAGTTTGAAATTAATTAGTTAGGTAATCAGAGGAAGAAGATCAGGAAGAAATATTAAAGGGAATGTTTAATCTGAACAGAGTCCAGATGCTGGGATAACGCTGGTAGGTGTGTGTCACACAGTTCAATGCATTCATAAGGGAAAATAAAAAAGCGGAAATAAATCAATTCATTTTATTTTCAGTCCAAGCCCCATCGGAATTCATTTTTTCTGAAAAGTAAAATTTACCTGAACACTGCCATTTTATCTGAAACTTGTGTCGGCATACAATGTCTATAATCTTGATGGGTAATCCACCTTAATATTTGTATCTTTGTGATCGGCTGACAGTTGATTAACTTCATATTCAATAACATATTCCTGTTATTATATTGATATATAAAAATACAGACAAAACAGCAACAATATCAATCATATTTTTATAATTATTAATTTAAATTATATTCTTTCTTTGAAAAGACTTGCTTAAACAATTCACATTTAACACTTCATATTGTCTTAAAAACTACTTTTAATACAAGAGGCCCAGAGGGCCTGTATCGTTCACCTGGATCTATGCCCAGCAATGGTATAAATGGCTATGGGTTGGGGATCTCAACCATTTCAAAGTTATGGCCCAGAAAATAAGTCACTAGCAGTGACCCCAGGGTCAATTTTATTATCATGACTGTGTTTATCTCTTTATGCCTATCAAACGTATATTTCGTTATGGGGTGGGGATCTCAACTGTTCTAAAGTTATGACCCAAGACTAAAGTCCCTAAGGGTGAGGCCACACCAGTGGCAAGTGCCAAGGGTCCATTCTTATATCATGATTGTGTTTGATTAAGTCTCTCAGGGTACGGCCAGACCTGGGAGTCATCCTGAATTCTTATGATTATTCGTCTCTATATACTCAGGGGATCTTGATAATGTCCAAGTTAAAAACTGTTTTTGGCCCCACCCCTCAGACCCCACGGGGTCAGCCCTCCATTTGTACAATTTTAAATTCCCACCACTTGAGAACGGCCCCTTCGGAGAAATTGTTGATGGACAGACGACAGACGCCATGGTATATGACATAATCAGACCAAGTGATTCTCAATTTCCAAAATAAGAAATAAATATTGTTTCTACAAAAAACAGCATTCACATAAGCCATAACAAAATTCTAAATTTCACTAGCTAGATAAAAATGCATTCCAACTCAAAAAACAGCATTGTAATATGTACAGTAAATAGACAGCTGAAATAAAGTACTACCAAAAATAAATTGCTGAAAGTAATAAGCTATTAACCAAAAAAATAATTCTTTAAAAAAACTATTTTTGATTAAATAAGAGATCAATGGGCCTTAATGGTCACCTGAGTTATAATACAATTGCTATTTGTTGCTGTGATGTGACAAAGTAATAGAACACAAATATTTGGTATATATAAAGTACATTAAAATTTACCTCCTCCCCAGGAGTAACGGGTTTGCTAAAGCACCTTAGGACCTCTTTTATCCAGGATTCTCTAAGAAGGATGGGGTTTTTCTAAACTCAAACTTCAACATCTATATTAGGGCTAATCCTACTTCTTAACTGTGAAAAGGATATAAACCTAAATACTGAATGAAACATTGATCTTTTTGCTGACAACACTTCTTTGAGATCTGAATTAAATCATTCACCCCTGAAATTTCATGATGAACTATGAACTATTCCAATCTTTGAATTGGAAGAGTTCAAATATGTCTTCAGGGGTGAATGAGTTAAATCACCATACCACCTCAATTCAGTAAAACAGTGACCTTGATAAACTGTCTCAATAGTGTATTTGTATGAGGATGTGCGAATGACAGTCATCATACATATGAACAGTGGATGTCCATGTATAATCGTCATATGATGTATTTATAAGTTACGTTTGAGGAGAAAACTTTAAGCCAATGGCTGTTTGTAATCTTCATAAAACAAATAAAGCATTATGTTATACTTCGATGTTCCAAACTTTACAGGACTATATCTGGGACAATTTTTAAACATCGGGACTTCGACTCACGAATATTGAACATCGTAGATATGTTGCGGTAGCTAGGAATATTTGACATTTACTGCACAACATCGAACTACAAGACATCACAACATCAAAATAACATACAAGGTCATAAGTTTTCAAATTTCAAATCTCAAAAACATGTATTCATGGTCATCACTTTTTGTGCACAAGATCGTGACTACGTAGTTGTGCATTTGGAACAAATAGGAACAAAAACAGAAATTTAAAAAACCCATAACAAAACCATTCTACTAGACCTGAGGAAGAACTCAATGGCTGCATGCCTATAGTATCAGCATGTAGGTTGGATAATGTATCACAGATGAAGTCACAGACAATTTGGACAATTTTTTTTTTAATGTAAAATACACAACGGCAAACTAAAATTTAAAAAAAAATCTTTTGGAATTTCCATCCGAAACCAATTGGAAGATCAAAGAATAAAGAGAACAAGAAGCCCAGAGGGCCTGTATTGCTCACATGAAGAGTTATGCAATCATGGAAAAATATTCTCATTAAATATAATGCAGTATTTCAATGTCTCAGCTCTGTCTTCGGACAGGACATTTATTGCAGGAAATCCTATATAACCAGTCTAGAACATCTATTGCAGTCCTAAATGACCAGTACAGGACATCGATTGTAGTCCTACATGACCAGTACAGGACATCTATTGTAGTCCTACATGACCAGTACAGACATCTATTGTTGCCCTACATGACCAGTACAGACATCTATTGTTGTCCTACATGACATGTATAGACATCTATTGTTGTCCTAAATGACCAGTACAGAAATCTATTGTAGTCCTACATCACCAGTACAGACATCTATTGTTGTCCCACATGACCAGTACAGACATCTATTGTTGTCCTAAATGACCAGTCCAGACATCTATTGTAGTCCTACATGACCAGTACAGGATATCTATTGTAGTCCTACATGACCAGTACAGACAGCTATTGTTGTCCTACATGACCTGTACAGACATCTATTGTTGTCCTAAATGACCATTACAGACATCTATTGTAGTCCTACATCACCAGTACAGACATCTATTGTTGCCCTACATGACCAGTACAGACATCTATTGTTGTCATACATGACATGTACAGACATCTATTATTGTCCTACATGACCAGTACAGTCATCTATTGTTGTCATACATGATCAGTACAGATCATCTATTGTTGTCCTACATGACCAGTACAGACATATATTGTTGTCCTACATGACCAGTACAGGACATCTATTGTAGACCTACATGACCAGTACAGACATCTATTGTTGTCCCACATGACCAGTACAGACATCTATTGTTGTCCTACATGCCCAGTACAGACATCTATTGTTGTCCTACATGACATGTATAGACATCTATTGTTGTCCTACATGTCCAGTACAGACATCTATTGTAGTCCTACATGACCAGTACAAATCATCTATTGTTGTCCTACATGACCAGTACAGACATTTATTGTTGTCCTACATGACCAGTTCAGACATCTATTGTTGTCCTACATGACATGTACAGACATCTATGGTTGTCCTAAATGACCAGTACAGACATCTATTGTAGTCCTACATCACCAGTACAGACATCTATTGTTGCCCTACATGACCAGTACAGACATCTATTGTTGTCCCACATGACCAGTACAGACATCTATTGTTGTCCTACATGCCCAGTACAGACATCTATTGTTGTCCTACATGACATGTATAGACATCTATTGTTGTCCTAAATGACCAGTACAGACATCTACTGTAGTCCTACATGACCAGTACAGACATCTATTGTAGGCCTACATGACCAGTACAGACATCTATTGTTGTCCCACATGACCAGTACAGACATCTATTGTTGTCCTAAATGACATGTATAGACATCTATTGTTGTCCTAAATGACCAGTACAGATATCTATTGTTGTCCTACATGACATGTACAGACATCTATGGTTGTCCTAAATGACCAGTACAGACATCTATTGTAGCCCTACATCACCAGTACAGACATCTATTGTTGTCCTAAATGACCAGTACTGACATCTATTGTAGTCCTACATCACCAGTACAGACATCTATTGTTGCCCTACATGACCAGTACAGACATCTATTGTTGTCCCACATGACCAGTACAGACATCTATTGTTGTCCTAGATGACCAGTACAGACATCTATTGTAGTCCTACATCACCAGTACAGACATCTATTGTTGTCCAACATGACCAGTACAGACATCTATTGTTGTCCTACATGACCAGACAGACATCTATTTTTGTCCTACATGACCGGTACAGAACATCTATTGTAGTCCTACATGACAAGTACAAATCATCTATTGTTGTCCTACATGACCAGTACAGGCATCTTTTGTTGTCCTACATGGCCAGTACAGGACATCTATTGTAGTCCTACATGACCAGTACAAATCATCTATTGTTGTCCTACATGACCAGTACAGACATCTATTGTAGTCCTACATGACCAGTACAGAACATCTATTGTAGTCCTACATGACCAGACAGACATCTATTGTTGTCCTACATGACCGGTACAGAACATCTATTGTAGTCCTACATGACCAGTACAAATCATCTATTGTTGTCCTACATGACCAGTACAGACATCTATTGTTGTCCTACATGACATGTACAGACATCTATTGTTGTCCTACATGACCAGTACAGGACATCTATTGTAGTCCTACATGGCCTGTACAGGACATCTATTGTAGTCCTACATGACCTGTACAGGACATCTATTGTAGTCCTACATGACCAGTACAGGACATCTATTGTAGTCCTACATGACCAGTACAGGATATCTTCAATAAGATTCATCAGTTTGGAAATATCTTACATCAAAGTTTTACAATGTTTGTCGATATATAGCGTCGGCACATATGTGCGCAAGCAATAATCGTCCAGATTTTTATCGTTCGCACATCGTGTAACATTGTGCGATCCCACTGTAATACTAGTACTGTAGTACTTACACTAAATACATATGCTGCATGTTCAGTACATGTTCAGTAGTACTGTTTCAGTACATGTTCAGTCAGTACATGTTCAGTACATGTTCAGTACTGTTTCAGTAAATTATAAGAATGGCTTGTACACCTTGGGTTTGACTTTGGTGGAGAAGTAACCCAATTCTATTTCCTGACACTTATCGGGCCAATTTGTGGCACCACTTACCATAGTCTTCCATCATGATCAGTGGAATGTTTGGACGATCATCGTCCGCTTCATAACCATCATCAGTGTTTGGTCCGCCGTCAATTTCTTCTATTGATGTTGTGATTAAATGGGACAGAATTTACAGTATAGAACATGATCATCCTTATGTACCATGAAAACCCACATTTTATTTCCTGTTTGGTGTCCAATATATAGACAGTAATTTAGTTGTCATTTTTTTAAGTAAATTAATTTTTTAGCATCTTTATAAGTGGTAACATATTTAAACATCTACTTTTCTACAAATGTTCAAAAAGTGTAATCACTGATGAATGATGAAGTTTGTGAGATAAAAATAGAACAAAAATAGAATGGTTTCTTAGAGACCGATAACACCTGAATCGCTCACCTGGATATTAAAGCAATCATTGCAAAATATTCTCAAAATATCAACTATTATGCTGCAAGTTTCTTAAAATTTGGTCTCTGTCTTTCAGCAGCCAGGGGGACAGTAGCCTTCCTTTATACAACATTATTTTCCCTGGTCCCAAGGATGCCTTATGGTAAATTTGGTTGAAATATGATCAACAATCAGGAGGGGTAGACTTTCAATTACTTAAGACACCAATTTACCCCAAAGTATGCCTATGCAGCCCTATAAAAATTCTTCAGGGCAGGGCCCGACCCCTGACTTATCCTGGTAGCATAATTGTGTACTTCTCTTCATGTCCAGCAAGCACATATTTGGTTATATAAGGTGGGGATCTCAACTGTTTCCATTTTTATGAACATATGTAGTCTACACAGACCTTCAGGACCCCTTAGGCAATTAATAATTAATTTTCCCCTATTGGGCTCTTCTTTCCTCAGAAAGGGGCCATAGTCCCTTTTACTAAAGTGTGCTCTAGATCAAATTTGGTTTAACTCCCTTCCTCAGTATGAAAGGATAAGGAGTTCCCTTATATGTGGTCCCTCTACTCCCAGGTAGGCCACACCCTCCTCCTATAGCACATTACACCCCCTTAGCCCAAGGGAGGTCTAGATCGAATATAATCAAAACCCACTCATCTGGTCCAGATTCAATCAAATTTTAAAATTGAAGTTGATGAATGGATGACGGACATTGCACCATAGCTACGGGCCAGCTATGTGGGTGAGCTAAAATATTATTAAGACATTTTTTGTCGTTTTTTATGCAATACATAATTTAGATACTTAAGTACTGAATTAAAAAGGGGGGGGAAATGTGACATTATATATAAAACATTTTTTTTCTTTTCTTTCTAGTTGAATAGGTTACCACTTGATAGTTCTGTTTATCATATGAGTTTTCCTGGTACATAAGTCTAATACACCCATCAATAGGCCTTGCTGACTATAAAAATCCTAAATGTACCACTGACACTTTTATAATTATCCATTATACAAAATCTCCTCCTTTATCTTATCAACTATTAACATGGAAGTCTCCATTTAAAAGAAATTCTTAAAGATACAGAAAATTGAGATCTTGAAAATTTAACATTGTATTCAAAAATTATAATACATATCATAGCTATAAAATAATGTTATTTTATTTTTTTACAACTTATTTTTGTCAAATTGTGGTGTACAATAAAATTCAATATATTTAGAAATTTAACTTGAATAAGTAAGTTAGCTTTGCTAGGTTTAGTAAACAATGTGTTACAGCCCATCGCATAAGTACGCTACTAAAGTCTCTAACATTAATTTTACAAATTATGTCTATTTTTAGTTTAGGAATATTTATGTACATAAATATAATATGCACTTCTCTATGATCTGGATATCACTGAGGGAGTTAAGTCTGCTTGTTAAAGTATTAGGGGTCAGCTTTAGCAAACATATGCATGATGAGTAATGATTTATGATTAATTATTAATTTTATAAGATGGTAATTAATATTTTTGATTAAAATACTGCAGCTGATTGAATGCCGTTTGTTATGTTAATCAAGCCCATGTACTTGTTTAAAGTTTAGTGATATTTTATACTTGTGCCAATCACCATGGGAACTGTTTCCTCGTGAGGTGCTGACAGCAGAGCTCAGCACTACAGGGCTATATCTATGGGGCTGTGATAATGAAGCTCACTGGACAACACCAGGGAATCTCTACATAGTCCATCTGGTCCGGGACAGACACGGACTGGGTATATATAAATAAGATACTGGCAACATTCCATATACATGTTTTGGGGTGTAATGCTTGAGTTAGAGATTAATTGGTCCAGTACGTCTATCACGAGAGTCATTCATTGGTCGACATTGCCCCTTGGAAACAGGATGATCAACATTAAAATGCATGATGCAGTACCGACAACATAAACACAGAAATATCTGTGAAGACAAAATTGACTTCAAGACAGCAATCCTGTGACCTTTTGACCCTGGGCAAATATTCCACTTCTCTTCTTCCTGATAGCCAAGGGACAACATTGGGAAACCAGGGTTACACAGCCTTTGCTTTGGCCGACAGCATTGGGCTATAAAGCAAAGTGATCTAGTATTGTTGAGAACATGCACTTTTAACTGATAGGAAGTCAACAGGATTGGTCTAAACCGCGTGTAAATGTCTACAAAAACAGAACACTGGTCATATGTATTTCATATCAAGTCCAGTGACGCATTCATTATATACCAATGACAATTTCTTACTTCCAAATTACTTTTTTGTTACCAAAATGGCAAAAAAGGCCTACCGAAGTCTTGCAGCTGATTTTCAATAGCCTTTCATCACAACTGCAAGCTTTCAAATAAAACATTGAATATCATATTAGAAAGAATGATAAAACAATCGTTACAAGCTGGTTATGTTACAATTTCATAGATATCCAATTACAGCCAAAATATGTTAATTAAGCATAGCCTAGGTTACTTTTACACTATATTCCTGCATATCAAGGAAAATTATGAATTATATCTACATTATTTAGAAAAACTTTGATATGATATTACTTCCAAACATGTCCCTATCGAAGCCTTTGGTTGGTTATATGTGATTATATAGACACAGAAGTACAATATTAACATCTACATGATTATACAACTAAACTACTTGTTAATAATTTTGGTTTCGGCATTCTCCACAAATAAGTACTTAGAACTAAAAATTAAGTTGAAGAAATAAACGAAAAGTGTTCTTAAAGATAAAAAAAAATAATCCTTGTTGACTTCCTATAGAGTTTATACCTTACCTTCCTCCAAGATTGTAGTGGGTTGCTTGGCATATGGCTTGAGTTTCCTTGAGGCTGGTACCTTATTGGCTGTAGGAGAAGGGGGAGGGGTCAACAGGAGGATGGATATCGGGTAAGGGGTTATTGTCAGTTTTTACCTGCTTTTTTAGCTTTATTATCGCCTGGTTCTATGATAGCTGGTGGTTGCACTTTAGATTCTTGTTGTTCAGGTTCCTTGATCTGAGGGGCGGGCTTTGCCTCAGGTTGTTTAGCTTTGATTGGTCGAGCATTTCATTGGTTCAGCGCCACGTGGATATCGATGGAAGAGTGCCGGGATGGAGGTTGAAGGGAGAAAGAGAGTGAAAGGAAGCTACGAGTCAGTCTACTGAAACACACTAAAGCTAAGCATTGCTTACAACATCTACACATTGTCACCTACTCAGAAGATTCCACACAGGTGTGTTCTACACACAGGTGGTCACTACAGCTGTAGGCTTTACAAGGGTTACTCTACAAGGGTGCTTTACTACTGATGAGCTGTGTACATGACACAGGTATATATTCCTTACACATGTGTTGACTACACATTGAGGTGTTCTCAACAGGTGTGTGAATATACACATATGTGCACACCAAAAGGTGTATTCAGTACTGGGTATGATATAAGTACAGTATACATATAGGTTTTTTATATGACACAAGTGTATAATCCGCACAGAAACTTTACACATGTGTATTTTCACACCAGTGTCTTTTTAAAACTGTACTCATCAAACACATGTGTTTATCTACATTTCTTTGAAATCAAAAGCAACACAACCCTGTCCATCTCAAGTTCTCTTTGAAAATTCAATTATATTAATTTTGAGAGGCTTTCAAAAGTGACATTATACAAAGCTGCGTTACTTATCCGGGATGGGCGGAAGACATCCCTATGCAAAACATTAGCCAATCAGATGGCAAGACAATAACATTTTCTGACTACAGTATAGTCAGATTTTCATTGATTGGTCAATTGCAGGCATGCAAGGCAGAGCACCTGGTTTATTACAATACCAAGAAGTAAAGCTTGTGAGTGTTGTTTGATGGACAGGGCTGATCCTACACTAGAGATTGGAACACTTAAAATACCTAGAGATGTCACACCCAAACATCAACATAAAAATAAAATCTTCGAACAAATCTTTTTCACAATATGCTTTTGAAAAATACTTCTGAAAACTAGCTTTTGGATTTTTTTTTTCAATATTTTTTTCTTATTTTGGTTTGGGTGTAGCATCATACTATAACAACAACAACCGTGTAAAGTATAGTCCGATCACGATGACCTGTCATGTTTACCTTCAATCACCAAAGTGTTAACATGTGGGTCCATAATTTAATAGGGAGATAGTAGATCAAGTTAAAACACTGAAGAATGACTGATGACTGAAACAGTCATAACGACAAAACAGTAAATGTCCTCAAGGGGCATATTATATTTGTAGGTATTGCTACAACCTTTTCCTTGTTAATTCCTGTCAACTGTTTGGTATTATTGCTTATAAAACTTGTAACCAAGGGACCAGTCTCAGTAAACATAGCTTAATTAACTCATTCACCCCTGAAATTTCATAATGAACTATTCCAAACTTTGAACTAGGATTTAATTTATTGTTCAGCTGACTGGAGTATTGACAACGGTCTCAATGCGTGTACAATGAACATCAATGTACAGTTGGACATACCTACACAAGGAATGTAACTGGCCAGTGTAAATATTCCTAGGAAAGGTAAACACGACAGGTCATTTGTGTCTAACTATATAGATCTATCAATATCTCCAACAGATGTCAATCAATCTAGAATTGTTCCCCTTTACTTTGTATTGATATAATAAAAAAAAATGTGAAAAACAAGAAGCAAACATTTTGTTTCAATAATTTCATGTGAAATATCAATATGTGTATCTGGTCAGAGTGAAAACCCATGAACGAGGAATCTTGTTAAAATTTGTTTGTAATGATCATCAGTAACTTAACATCGATCAAAATTAACTTAACAGCGATCAACAGTAACTAAACAAAGTAACTTAACAATGATCATCAGTAACTTAACAACGATCAAAGGTAATTTAACAATGATCCAAAGTCAATTAACAATGATCAAAAGAAACTTAACAACGATCAAAAGTACTTTAACAATGATCAAAAGTCAATTAACAAAGATCAAAAGTAATTTAATAATGATCAAAAGTAATTTAACAAAGATCAAAAGTCAATTAACAAAGATCAAAAGTCAATTAACAAAGATCAAAAGTAACTTAACAACGATCAAAAGTAATTTAACAATGATCAAAAGTCAATTAACAATGATCAAAATTAACTTAACAATGATCAAAAGTCAATTAACAAAGATCAAAAGAAACTTAACGAAAATTGCGAAAAAAATAACTAAATTGTAGCAACCTTAAATACCACTTTTCAAACTTCATCAGATGACATTTGGAATTTCACATGAAAACAATCTGTCATTAGGTAATTCTTGTTTCTTGTTTAAATATGAAATGAGATGAATTTATAGTTAAAAACATCTGTGGGAAATACTGACAAGCAGTGTACGGTATAATAACATGTAGTCTTACAATAGGGAGTTTGTTGCAAGGAGTTATTTCCGTTAGTGATCCCATTACAGTTATATATCCATGTTTGCATGGGAAGGCGAGTTATGGTTAGAACCATAGAAATTTAAAGTAAATTTATTGATATGCCAATAAAAAAAAAACAATACCAAATTATCAGAATACAATACAAGGAAATTTGTCAAATACATGTATTTCTTTTTGAGCTATTGAAATTCCCCACTCAATCAAAAAGGTCATCAAATATTTCATTTGAATATTGGAAATCCATTTTCAGTTATTTTGTGTTGATAAATACAAAAATAACTCCTCTTTTCTTTTCTATTGAACAACAACAGATAAATTTATACCATACTGAAGGCATTGCGATGTTACTATATTTAGATTGTAGGCATTGCACTGTCAGTTTCTTTTAGGCATCGCTTTTTGCTCTAACGCAGTGAGATAACAGGAGTGCATACAAATAAAAATATCTCATTAATATCTAACGAGTGTAAGAACTAACAATTTACTGTTACCATGGAAACATGCTTCTGAAGGTTCGCTCTAAGATATTAATTTCAACTAAGAATAATTGACAGAAAAAATAGAAGAAAATTTTAGCAGAAATAAACTATTAAAATCCACATGATACTGAGACTAAAAAGTCAACATGTTGTGGTCTGGATTTGTTTGGAATCCAGACATTTTAGGGCACACTGATCAAACAATGGTCTCATACTGCACTAAAGGTGTGTCTACTCGCGAACAGGGCTAGAGCAAGCTACCAGATTCCAAAAATATCGACCAGTCATATCACGCAAGACAAAACAAATCACCAGCATACCACTGTCAAAAAACGAAAGATACTTGCTGTCTCTAATGAGCTAATCATCAAGTGCTATTTTCTATCTAATACAATTAGCAGGTAACTGTTTCACTTTGCTAAACAGCTAAATCATCATCGCTAAACATCATACATCTAGTACATCAGACTAAAAGCTAAAAACCCTAGACTCCAAATTATTGGGTTTATATCACTAGGACGAGAACTAACAACCTAGCAATAATATATAGCACACACTGTAAAAGAAATCTCATTCTCAGATCAATCTTCATGGTAGAGTCTTTCCTGTAACTTTGTCACCATTTCATGTCAAATGAAATGTGTTCAAAACTAATTCCAAACATTGAAAGCAAAATGAAACAGACTCCCTAAACAGACTTGAAGGTTCAAAGTCAGATGTACATGTGTAGGTTTGCAGGTGTGACACGGTTACCATGAAAATTGGTCACATGACCAGTAAACGAAGGTAAGGACACCCTAAAAATAAGATATCAAAATTAATGATAAATGATATATAGCAAATATCAACAATGTACCTTTAGGGTCTTCCTCTTTCTTGTCCTGTAAATAAATACAATAAAAAAAGTTTTACTGGGAGTTTATGAAATATTCTACCATTAAAACATGAAACGAGAAAAATGTGAAACAGACATATTTTGTACTATAAGATATTGTCTTCTGTTATCTAAAGTTATCTAATGTTCCTAAAAGTTTCCCTAGTTGACTGCAGAAATTGTTTTTCGTTCTTTTTGGTATAACACATATACTTGCCAACTTTGCCTATTTGGGAGGGAGACCCTTGATTTCGGACCCTTAAATCAAGCATTTTCAACCAGTAAATTTGCTAAACTATTCCTATATTTAAGATCTTATTATTTTATCTGAAAGACTAACTCAAAGTATGTCATTTTCAATAGTTATTTTGTCTCTAGGGGGTGTATACACACATTTTATTTTTGTTTTAATTTTGAGCATGCAGAATCTCCCCCATGGAAATTTCAAAAAGTTCGCAAGTATGAAAACAATACAAGGCCATGGTCATAATAATATTACTCAAAGGCTTTCTGAATAACACCACAAATCAAAGGAAATTCTGAATAACACAAGGTTAAAGACAGTCTTTATAAGACAAGGACAATGACAGGATGTATAACACATCGTCAAGGACAGTTTGTATAAGACAAGGTCAAGGACAGCGTGTATAACACAAGGTCAATGACAGGATGTATGACACATCGTCAAGGACAGTGTGTATAACACAAGGTCAAGGACAGGCTATATCACACAGGTCAAGGACAGTCTGTATAACACAAGGACAAGGACAAGCTATATCACACAAGGTCAAGGACAGTGTGAATAACACAAAGTCAAGGACAGGCTATATCACACAAGGTCAAGGAAAATGTGTATATCAAACTTGGTCAAGGACAGTTTGTATAACACAAGGTCAATGACAGGATGTATAACACATTGTCAAGGACAGTGTGTATAACACAAGGCCAAGAAAAATTTGTATATCAAACTTGGTCAAGGACAGTTTGTATAACACAAGGTAAAGGACAGTCTGTATATCACAAGGTCAAGGACAGTCTGTATAAGACAAGGTCAAGGACAGGCTGTATAACACAAAGGAAAGGACAGTCTGTATAAGACAAGTTTAACGACAGTCTGTATAACACATCGTCAAGGTCGGTATGGTATAACACTAAAGTTCAAGGACAGTCTGAATAACACTTAAGGTCAAGGACAGTGTGTATAACACAAGGTCAAGGACAGGCTGTATAACACAAGGTCAAGTGCAGGCTGCTTAACACAAGGTCAATGACAGGCAGTATAACACAAGGTCAAGGAGAGGCTGCCTAACACAAGGTCAAGGACAGTCTGTATAACACTGCAAGGTCAGAGACATTTTTTATAAATTATCCGGTCAAATACAATCTCTATAAACAATAGAAAGTCATGGCAAATTGGTTCAGTTCTGCATTTTGAAACACTACAAATAACCTAGCACTACATAGTTGAATCTCATCAATCAAAAGTCTTAGTTTCTTCAAAACTATTTTCAAGAAACTAAAATAAGAATTTTTCATAGTAATAAGATGTATTGTTTATATGGTTGAGGAAAAGAGTTTACACTGATGTCAGAGTAATGTTTTGAGAAAAGATTCATGAAGCACAACCAAAAAGTGTAAAATATGTACGAGTTGTCCAGAAATCAATGTTGATTCGGCTATGCTGTAAGCGTATGTGCAATTAGTTGTTATATATATACTGAAATGACTCGATTCAGCTACGCTTTGTTGTACATAAGCTTCACTGGTCATTTGTCTGATGAAGGTGACATACCGTAGTAGTCATCGAAACGTCACATAAAAACACTTTTGGTTGTGCTATATGAATCTTTTCACAATCCATACTTACCAACACGAAGAAAATGTTTAGAAATATCAGAGTAATGTTTGTTTCAGTAATTCCTTTATTTGCTGAATTTCTTTTTACACTGTTGTGTATTGTCGTTAATCATATCCTTTGATTTACATTACAAGTGATTACATCTATTATCCTCTCATGTTCTTGTGTTTCCCATTTTGTGTACATATACAAGCTGTACAATTAACACATCTGTATTCGACCATGAGCACCTATGAACAACCAATATCATTGAACACAATGCACCATAGCGAATTTCAATGTTGGAAATTTTGATCACAACTTTCATACAGCCCAACAAAAGGTGACGAGAAATTTCCTTTTCAAACATTTTGTAAATAAATATTTTATATAGTCAATTATGAAACAGCTTTGAGTCAGAAAAAATATTTACCTTCTTGTCCTTTTGGTCCTGCTGTGGATTGTCTGAAACAAATACAATTTCTTTTTTAATTTTGAAAAATGTTTCACCCAATGACCTAAACAGAATAAACCTTGGTATCACAAATTTCCTACTTTGGTATACACTAAGAGAACGACAAGGCTAGCTATTACCAAACACCTTACCTTTGACAGAAAGGTAACTATATACCTTAGTTTTGACAGACAGGTTAGCCATACACCTTACCATTGACAGACAGGCTTGCCATACACCTTACCTTTGACAGACAGGTTAGCCCTACACCTTACCTTTGACAGACAGGTTAGCAATACACCTAACCTTTGACAGACAGGTTAGCCCTACACCTTACCTTTGACAGACAGGCTTGCCATACACCTTACCTTTTACAGACAGGTTAGCCATACACCTTACCATTGACAGACAGGCTTGCCATACACCTTCCCTTTGACAGACAGGTTAGCCATACACCTTACCCATGACAGCCAGGCTTGCCATACACCTTACCTTTTACAGACAGGTTAGCCACACACCTTACCTTTGACAGACAGGTTAGCCATACTCCTTACCTTTGACAGACAGGTTAGCCATACATCTTACCTTTGACAAACAGGTTAGCCATCCACCTTACCTTTGACAGACAGGCTTACCATACACATTAACTTTGACAGACAGGTTAGCCATACACCTTACCCATGACAGCCAGGCTTGCCATACACCTTACCTTTTACAGACAGGTTAGCCATACACCTTACCTTTGCCAGACAGGTTAGCCATACACCTTACCTTTGACAGACAGGCTTACCATACACCTTAACTTTGACAGACAGGTTAGCCATACACCTTACCTTTGCCAGACAGGTTAGCCATACACCTTACCTTTGACAGACAGGATAGCCATACACCTAACCTTTGACAGACAGGTTATTTATATACCTTACCTTTGACAGACAGGTTAGCCATACGCCTAACTTTGACAGACAGGCTTGCCATACACCTTACCTTTGACAGACTGGTTAGCCATACACCTTACCTTTGACAGACAGGATAGCCATACACCTAACCTTTGACAGACAGGTTATTTATATACCTTACCTTTGACAGACAGGTTAGCCCTACACCTGACCTTTGACAGACAGGTTAGCCATACAACTTACCTTTGACAGACAGGTTAGCCATACACCTGACCTTTGACAGACAGGTTAGCCATACAACTTACCTTTGACAGACAGGTTAGCCATACACCTAACCTTTGACAGACAGGTTAGCCCTACACCTTTCCTTTGACAGACAGGTTAGCCATACACCTTAACTTTGACAGACAGGTTAGCCATACACCTTACCATTGACAGACAGGTTAGCCATACACCTAACCTTTGACAGACAGGGTAGCCATACACCTTACCTTTGACAGACAGGGTAGCCATACACCTTACCTTTGACAGACAGGTTAGCTATATGCCTTACCTTTGACAGACAGGTTAGCCATACATCTTACCTTTGACAAACAGGTTAGCCATACACCTTACCTTTGACAGACAGGGTAGCCATACACCTTACCTTTGACAGACAGGGTAGCCATACACCTTACCTTTGACAGACAGGCTTACCATACACATTAACTTTGACAGACAGGTTAGCCATACACCTTACCCATGACAGCCAGGCTTGCCATACACCTTACCTTTTACAGACAGGGTAGCCATACACCTTACCATTGACAGACAGGTTAGCCATACACCTAACCTTTGACAGACAGGGTAGCCATACACCTTACCTTTGACAGACAGGTTAGCCATACACCTTACCTTTGACAGACAGGTTAGCCATACATCTTACCTTTGACAAACAGGTTAGCCATACACCTTACCTTTGACAGACAGGTTAGCTATATACCTTACCTTTGACAGACAGGTTAGCCCTACACCTTACCTTTGACAGACAGGTTAGCCATACACCTAACTTTGACAGACAGGTTAGCCATACTCCTTACCTTTGACAGACAGGCTTGCCATACACCTAACCTTTGACAGACAGGTTAGCTATATACCTTACCTTTGACAGACAGGTTAGCCCTACACCTTACCTTTGACAGACAGGCTTGCCATACACATAGCTGAACCTGCAGTGTTCTTGACCTCCACCTGATAGTTGCCGGCATCCTCAGGGTACACCTCAGGAAAGTAAAGACGACACGTTCCCTTGTCATAGGAGATTTTGTACACATCGGAGGCAGCAAGAGGCTTATTATCTTTGATCCATGTGACAGTGATTGGTTCCGTACCGGTCACCTTGGCGATAAGGTCGACAGCATCCCCGTCGATGACATTCTGTTACAACAGTGAACATCAATAAATATGTATTTCATGATAAACCACCTCCTTAGCTTCATTAACTCATTCACTCCTGAAGACACATTTGAACTCTTCCAATTCAAAGGATGGAATAGTCCATTATGAAATTTCAGGGGTGAATGAGTTAAAGCAGTTGAGATTTGTATTGAAAACAGTGTATGTTTGATAGAAAACCTGGCTGATGTTGTTACCTTTGGAGACAGCTTCTGTGAAAACTTTGGTCCTTCAACTTGGGTCTTTGGCTGAAGGGCTGCAAAATAGGAAACATTGGGGATTAGTGTTGCTTGACCAGATAAAGATTGTGTAAATACATCTCCCTACATTAAAACTGAACGGGGATAAATAACAAAAATCATACTAAGCACTGTTAAGACAGTTCCCAATACACTGAGTCTATGCTGTATTCCATGTCATGTCACAGCAACACAATCATGTTATGTCCAATTCAGTCTTTAAAAGCTCATACTGCCCTACAAAAACAATTCCTTGAATATACGTACCTTATTTATTTTAAAACTGTTATTTGTTATCAACTTATATTTAACTGAAATTGGTAGGGTTATACAGTGGCAATGCCATACGTACCTGACCTTTTTTATGAGATGAACAGATTCCAAAAATGGTAAATATAAGTATTGAACTGCTTTCAGTTGGCATTAATAGGCAATATGAATTCCAACTGGACATTGGCAAATTCAATGAGCGTGCTAGCCCTTCATGTTGGATTTGCTTTTGTCCAGTTGGCATTCATATTGCCTATGAATGCCAACAGAAAGCAGTTCAATGCTTAAATGATTATCATTCTTGTCTTTGAGAACCCAGAGAGATCTGCTAGTGTAGAGTACCTTTGAAGTTGACTTTGGCTGTGGCAGTTGCCTCCCCTCCTGGATTCTTCAGAACACATTTGTAATCTCCCGAGTCAAGGTCAGAGGGCTGTCAAAAATTAGAAATCAGTAGTTAAACCAAAGGCAGGCAAATACTCATTGCAAAATATTTCAGATGATTCAGCAGACCAAAAGTCAATAGGCGATATATGTACAGTCAAGTACATTGTGCTATACAGTTTACTAAATATAATAACTGTTTTTCAACCAGACATGTTGTATGAAAGATGATGATTTTCCACTAATAGCTTGACCTTACATTGGTGATTTCCATGACAGAAAAGTAGCAGTCATTTTCATGGGCCATGTCTAGGAAGTAGCGACCTCCAGATTTGATTGGCTTGTTCCCAAAGTACCACATTGCTGTAGGCTTGGAGGCAGACGCAACCTTGATCTCCATGACGAGGCGCTTTCCTCCATCCTCAAGCTTTATGGAAGGTGGGCCCTTCATCATGGGAGGGGCTTCCTTTGGTCTAAAATACATTATCACAAATAACATTCAATATCCTAAAAGCTGTTCCAGTTCATAGAAAAATGAACACATACATTCCATTTCAGAATGTTAAATCTTTAAATGAGATGTTTATCACCGAAACATCAGCTTTGTGAACTATTAAGAGCACTAATATTTTTGAAAATTTGGTATATCTTTATTAATTGATATACCAACAAAACTTCTTTCTTTTATTTTTAGTACCACAACATACCAAACTTTTCATTTTGAGTGTTCAATATTGGATAAATTGTGATGAAATCTAGAAATCGCAAGTAACAAAACAAAAAAACATTCAGCACAGGTGCTGTTTGAGAATCCTGTGTCTTTGTAAATTTAATCCATAATTTTGTTGAAGAAAATGTGAGAAACTTTCAGTGGGAAACTTGACAGTGTTACTTGTACTCTTGATGAAGAACAATCACTACAACAACCAGTCATTTAAGCAATAATTGATTGACATGTTAATAAATACAAACACATTTTGACTTTAAATCAAATATGTCTGTAGCTTGGTTATATAATTGGTAACTAAATGACAATACACACATGCATCTAGGTCTACAGGTGAATCAAACTAGATTTGGTATTTAGAGTTTATTTAGAGGTAGGGTGGATCTAAGACAAGGTCTAGATATATACCATAATAGTGCATAAATATAGGGGTGAGAGTTAGTATTATATAGGTAGGGTTACAATAAACAGAAATAAGGCAATATATGGATGAGAATATAAAGAAGTGACAATTAATATTTCATTTCACGAAACTTGTAATAACACAAAGTGAATGTGATGAGCTGAAAGTATCTGATAGTAAGGATGATACCAATGCTGTACATTAACTCATTCGCCCATGAAGTCACATTTGAACTCCTCCAATTCAAAGGTTAGAATAGAACATTATGAAATGTAAGGGGTGAATGAGTTAAGTGACCAGGAAGTAAACAACAGATCTATTTTTTGTACTTTAATAACAAATGATAGTAGGGTGGAAGATACCAACACTGTATATGAAAATAAGGTTTGTATATTATACATTAACTCATTTACCCCTGAAGACACATTTGAACTGTTCCAATTCAAAGGCTGGAATAGTTCATTATGGAATTTCAGGGGTGAATGAGTTAACAGAGGTCCATCAGGAATCCTCCACCCTGGCCTTCCCTCCTTACATGTGCTGGGGGAATAACATATATATATAAATAGAGTCCACCTGAAGAAGCCCTAGAAGGCAGAAAGGCCTAGATGTATATCTTGGGTACTTATCATTTTATTATATATATACCATCTATAGCTGATTCACTACAGTGGTGGTGTATAGATCAAAGACTAAACACTAAGGTGGGATGCAGACTTTATTAAACATGGCAGATACTTTTTGTTCACAGATCTGTGCAAGGATAAGTTGATGAATGTTATTTCAATAATATAAACAGATTATAGAACTTGGCAATAGCCAGCAGCTTACAGATACATCAAAGTATGCTCAGCCTGTCTGAAGATAGCCTTACTTTGTCCAGTCAGATTCTAGGAAGTGTTTGGCTTAATTCTGTATTGCAACACACTCACTAGAAACAGATGTAAAATCGTACTCAGTAACCACCACCACAGTCTAACTCAGTAACTACCACCACATGGCTTAATTCTGTATTGCAACACTCTCACTAGAAACAGATGTAAAATCGTACTCAGTACCCACCACCACAGTCTAACTCCGTAACTACCACCACAGTCTAACTCAGCAACTACCACCACAGTCTAACTCATTAACTACCACCACAGTCTAACTCAATTGCAACACACTCACTAGAAACAGATGTAAAATCGTACTCAGTAACCACCACCAAAGTCTAACTCCGTAACTACCACCACATTCTAACTCAGTAACTACCACCACAGTCTAACTCGGTAACTACCACCACAGTCTATCTCAGTAACTATCACCACAGTCTAACTCAGTAACTATCACCACAGTCTAACTCAGAAACCACCACCACAGTCTAACTCAGTAGCTATCACCACAGTCTAACTCAGTAACTACCACCGCAGTCTAACTCAGTAACTACCACCACAGTCTAACTCAGTAACTACCACCACAGTCTAACTCAGTAACTACCACCACAGTCTAACTCAGTAACTACCACCACAGTCTAACTCAGTAACTACCACCACAGTCTAACTCAGTAACTACCACCACAGTCTAACTCAGTAACTACCACCACAGTCTAACTCAGTAACTACCACCACAGTCTAACTCAGTAACTACCACCACAGTCTAACTCAGTAACTACCACCACAGTCTAACTCAGTAACTACCACCACAGTCTAACTCAGTAACTACCACCACAGTCTAACTCAGTAACTACCACCACAGTCTAACTCAGTAACTACCACCACAGTCTAACTCAGTAACTACCACCACAGTCTAACTCAGTAACTACCACCACAGTCTAACTCAGTAACTACCACCACAGTCTAACTCAGTAACTACCACCACAGTCTAACTCAGTAACTACCACCACAGTCTAACTCAGTAACTACCACCACAGTCTAACTCAGTAACTACCACCACAGTCTAACTCAGTAACTACCACCACAGTCTAACTCAGTAACTACCACCACAGTCTAACTCAGTAACTACCACCACAGTCTAACTCAGTAACTACCACCACAGTCTAACTCAGTAACTACCACCACAGTCTAACTCAGTAACTACCACCACAGTCTAACTCAGTAACTACCACCACAGTCTAACTCAGTAACTACCACCACAGTCTAACTCAGTAACTACCACCACAGTCTAACTCAGTAACTACCACCACAGTCTAACTCAGTAACTACCACCACAGTCTAACTCAGTAACTACCACCACAGTCTAACTCAGTAACTACCACCACAGTCTAACTCAGTAACTACCACCACAGTCTAACTCAGTAACTACCACCACAGTCTAACTCAGTAACTACCACCACAGTCTAACTCAGTAACTACCACCACAGTCTAACTCAGTAACTACCACCACAGTCTAACTCAGTAACTACCACCACAGTCTAACTCAGTAACTACCACCACAGTCTAACTCAGTAACTACCACCACAGTCTAACTCAGTAACTACCACCACAGTCTAACTCAGTAACTACCACCACAGTCTAACTCAGTAACTACCACCACAGTCTAACTCAGTAACTACCACCACAGTCTAACTCAGTAACTACCACCACAGTCTAACTCAGTAACTACCACCACAGTCTAACTCAGTAACTACCACCACAGTCTAACTCAGTAACTACCACCACAGTCTAACTCAGTAACTACCACCACAGTCTAACTCAGTAACTACCACCACAGTCTAACTCAGTAACTACCACCACAGTCTAACTCAGTAACTACCACCACAGTCTAACTCAGTAACTACCACCACAGTCTAACTCAGTAACTACCACCACAGTCTAACTCAGTAACTACCACCACAGTCTAACTCAGTAACCATCACCACAGTCTAACTCAGTAACCATCACCACAGTCTAACTCAGTAACTACCACCACAGTCTAACTCAGTAACTACCACCACAGTCTAACTCAGTAACCATCACCACAGTCTAACTCAGTAACCATCACCACAGTCTAACTCAGTAACTACCACCACAGTCTAACTCAGTAACTACCACCACAGTCTAACTCAGTAACTACCACCACAGTCTTACTCAGTAACTACCACCACAGTCTAACAATCTAACTCAGTAACTACCACAGTCTAACTCAGTAACTACCACAGTCCTACTCAGTAACTACCACCACAGTCTAACTCTGTTCAAATTTGAAACTGAATTTTTACAAAAAGTTTTTGAAATTTATGCAGTTGATAGCAATTATTTTGCATATGAAACCTGTATCCCAATGATAAGATAATAAGTTACACAATGAATTCTTATGATGACAAATATACAGTGTATCCTGATCAAGTAGATGCACTACATTCCAATGATGATTTAGAGAGTGTGTATTTCAAAGATAGTTTATTCTCCCATTAGTATATTTCAATCATATACAGTGTATTCCAAAGATGAGTTACTCACACAACATGTATGTTTGATACCTATGGTAAGTTTCTCCACATTTCTGTCATTTGTCGAGGTACTTACGAGAAGTGGGCAGCTAGCAGTTGATATCTGCCAATTCCATTCATCCTTTTAGTCATTTTTAAATATTTCAATTTGTAAACAACATTGATAGCATTCCTCAGTTTTCTCACACTTCCACAGATCTATAACACCTCCTTGTCTGAGAATTAATCTAATAGTTTAGTTCCAAGAAATTACGGAAACTAGTTACATCTCCAAACAGGACCTTAAATCTGCTCCACACACAAATGATCATATAAACAACTGACATGAACAGATTCCATTTTGGATTGTGATAGCTACAAAGAAGGGAATGGCCGAGTCAGAGGTGGGTTATACTCTGGTGGGAGGTTGGTCTACGGAGTGTCTGGTACTGACAGATGTACAGCCGCCCACACTACAGGAGGCCACACATACATCAATGTGGCATTTAACATTCAAATTTAGATCCAACCAACATCTTGCACATTTCACAGGCATTTTTCATTTAACATTCAAATGGCAAGAATTCCATAAAACTACAATAACCATGAGTGGATTCCATGTCTGAAGTTCCAAACAAAATGATTTGTTAGCTTTCAAAGAATATTCAAGGCATTTATAATCAACCAGCGTTTATCTGCAATATCTGGAACATTGTATTTCAATAAATCTGATGTTTATTTAAAAACCAGAATTTGATAAATAAATTTTCGTTTTTCTTGAGTATATAAGTATAAACCGCGTTAGTTTAAATTACAAGCATATCGAAGAAGTTGACCAAACATAATTAAAGTCTATATATATTTACGTGAATAATACTGGACGAAGGCTGAAAGCCTCAGGTTCATAACAACAATTATTTAACAAATACTTTATAGGAGTGTCAATAACATTTTCAATAAGATTCATCAGTTTGGAAATATGTAATATCATTGTTTTACTTTTTAAACAAACATTGTACGTATTAGATATACCCATATGTTTCAATATGGACTGGTCAGTCATAGCTTGACAAATTGACCAGTCAGTCTTGAAACGTTGCGACACGTAAATACGTACATTGTTTGTGTAAAAAGTGAAACTTTTATAATAGTGTCAATAATATCATTATAAATATGTAAAAAATAGTCTTATTGTGTTTCACATATCATAGAATGTTTCTTTAAAATGTTCATCAATTTAATTTTCAAACTCCCTAATTGTTTGAGCATTAACTATATAGATTTTGTCAGTCTACATACATCGTGTATATATGATAAAATAACAAACACACAGAAATGACCTCTATGCCTTTCTGCCATCTTGGACTTCTTCAGATGGACTTGTTACTATATATATACATGCATATCATTAGAGTACAGATGAGAGGAATCAACAAAATATATTCATAATACTGAAAATATCAAGGAGGTATATATATATCAAACATGAAATTCAGTCAATTTTCTTTGGGATATAGAGCTTCCCCAATGAGTGATAGTTGGTTATTATATCTATCTAACTCAAGATAGTTAATTTTCGGATTATATAAAGACACAAAGTTTACCGAAAGTCTATAAAATTATCTATTGATGGTTACATGAACATGTTAACCAATGCAGCCATCACGAGTTTGGGGACTGTTTTCTCCCACAACATTTAGATTGTATGTTCTGAAAGTCACATTTCTCTATGGAATACACTATTCCTTTATCCAATCAGCGAAACTATCGCCATGAACTATGACGTCACAATAGAAGATGACTTCAGAAAGCGTTGTTACTTGACGTCATAGGTAAAAAATTGACCAATGAAATCACGTCCAGGGTGTAACCCACTACTGGGTAACCAAAAATGTTTACCCACTCCTAGAAGATTTATCCAATCAGTCGGGAGAGAGAAAACCTATAGTGGTTGTGGGAGAAATGTTTTTATTAAATGAGTCAATAATTTAAGGTTCATTGATAAGCGAAGGTGTTATAACCAAATATAGTTTATGATAATTTTACATGATTTTATGAAAACTTTGTCCCCCAAAAATTTGCTGAATCTCAAGTACTAAATACTATTTGTAGTAGTGGCAGTAGGACACTGTGTAAACTGGGTGAGTGTGTAGAATATGTATTTGGGGACATCACGTTACACAATATTAAATCATAAATCATAATTTTACCTCTTTTTCAACCTGCAATAAAAGTCAAATAACACAAATACAATACACATCCTTCTATCTACATGTTATACTACCACTGCAAAAAAACATATCCCTCAATCCCTGCTATCTAAGGTCTATCTGTAGCCTAGTGCATTCCTCACTAAACAACCTAGACACTAAATCTGTAGCCTAGCGCATTCTTCACTAAACAACCTAGACACTAAATCTGTAGCTTAGTGCATTCTTCACTAAACAACCTAGACACTAAATCTGTAGCTTAGTGCATTCTTCACTAAACAACCTAGACACTAAATCTGTAGCTTAGTGCATTCTTCACTAAACAACCTAGACACTAAATCTGTAGCTTAGTGCATTCTTCACTAAACAACCTAGACACTAAATCTGTAGCTTAGTGCATTCTTCACTAAACAACCTAGACACTAAATCTGTAGCCTAGCGCATTCCTCACTAAAACAACCTAGACACTAAATCTGTAGCCTAGTGCATTCCTCACTAAACAAACTAGACACTAAATTTTTAGCCTAGCGCATTCTTCACTAAACAACCTAGACACTAAATCTGTAGCCTAGCGCATTCCTCACAACGACACTCTGGATATTACATTTGTAGCCTAGTGCATTCCCTGATAACAAAAAGTCGCCCCAGTGTCCTAATATCCGCATAATAACTTGTATGTCTTACTGATTATAGTACTTATACTTATCACCGTCTTATAGTATTTCAAATAAGTAGCATGAAACTCTTAATTTTTCTTTACTTCAAATCTTTTAATTAAAAGAATATTATGAAATTGATGTTTTTTATACACTGTAGAAGAATGCATCATGTTGAAATATCACACAGTCTTTTTATAACATTCACCTCAGAAACCAACTAGCAGTACACGAACAAGTCTTCACACACTAAAGGAAACCTTATATCATCGGCGACCAGATAGCTCAATTGATAGAGTGTCCATCTAGAGTTCAGAGGGTCCCGGGTTCGAACCCCGGTCTGGCTGTGCATTTTTCCTCTCCTGTTATTTATCAGGCATTTGTTTGCTTGGCATGTTACCAGCAGAATTGGACAACTGCTACTATTGATGGGTGTCAAATTTATCAAAATAAATTGGGGTAACCCCTGAGTTTTTGGGTGAAGCAGTTTATTGGGAGATTAGTTTGGGAGCCTGCTGCCATCCTATCAGTCTATACAATCATAGTATCAGTGTCTGTGTCAATTTTAAAAACTGCTGCATTCTAAATTAAAGGTATAAATGTAGAACATGTCAATATACAATAAAAGATGTTTTAATTTTGATATAAGACTTGATAAAATTGTGTGGGTTTTAGAGCGATGCCATGTTGATAAGGACATCATCAGTATTATACCCTTCAAATTGGCAGGGTTTTTTTGAAAAAAAAAAAAAGTTTAAAAATTGATATTATCTAAAAATTTATGGAGACTTCAATATGTTGATGTGCTTACATGAAAATCATTGAGTGTCATCCTTAAATAATGAATCAATTAACCATATCATAGTTGAAGTCTATTTGATAAATAAATTTTTAATTTGTTTGGAGTTGAAATATGTTTAAATTGAAAAAATCCTCTTTTTACCTATAAGAACAATCAATTTTTTTCTGTGCATTATGCTCTTGAAATGGCCTTACCCCTTACTGTAAAGAACTTGAGTCACTTTTTTATGGGGGATACGAATATGATGTGACACGCCCCCATCACTACTTACATTTTAACTTACAAAACTAGATGTAAGGATCCACTAGCCTACTCAATCAGCTCAATATTTACTGACAGGTATACATATATATATATATAACTGATACGTCAGCCATAGTTCACATACAGTAGAACCTCTATTAGTCATATGGATATTCCAAAGATTTCTAAAGTCGTGACAATCTTGCTGCTCTAGTAGCCAAAAATTAACCCAACAAAAAGATGCACTACTGCCTAGACTTTTCACCATACTATCAAACCAACAGAAGAAATCAATCTAAACTACAAAATCTAAATTATGAAATAGCATCACTTAATTTTCATTGATGAGATAGAGTATCCAACTTACCCCTCCAGGTTTACTGTGACTGTGGCATTACCCTCGCCGTGGTCATTCTTGGCTGTGACCTTGTACTGTCCACTGTCCTTTGCTGTGAAACTCTACAATTGGAAATAGATTAAACATCAATTACAATGTCACATCATTAAACAACTGTAATTACATGTCACATCATTAAACAATTGTAATTACATGTCACATCATTAAACAACTGTAATTACATGTCAAATCATTAAACAACTGTAATTACACATCACATTGCTGAAACAACTGTAATTACACGTCACATCATTAAACAACTGTAATTTCACGTTACATCATTAAACAACTAATTACACATCACATCGCTGAAAAAACTGTAATAACACATCACATCATTAAACAACTGTAATTACACATCACATAATTAAACAACTGTAATTATACATCACATCGCTGAAACAACTGTAATTACACGTCACATCTCGGAAATAACTAATTACACGTCAAATCGCTGAAACAACTGTAATTACAGGTAGCTATATACATGTAATGGTAAGGAAGCTAAAGACACATGTCATGGTTATTTCAATATTCAATTTCAAATTAAAGCAGGGATTTATTTGTAGCCGATAATTGGATTTCCAGAATTCAAAATATCGGGACGTAATATATAATTCAATTGAGTATAGTCAGATCTAAGCAGCAGAATGTATGAATGCCATTCTACAGGCCATGTGTTAAACGTCAAGGAAAAAGCTTGGAGATTATTAAACATCTTTACTGGTGTTATCATATCTTGGTTTATTGGAGTTCTGTGCTAGCAATTTTGTAACATGAACTTATGATTTTAAATTATCAACTACCAAAATAAATAACTTTGTTCATTTCTAAATCTTGGTTCCCAAGACAAACACTGCAAAAATTTATCATTGAATTACCAAAAGTGCTATTTATGTAACACATTCTCCAGCATATCAGCGCTACAATCATTAACATTCAAAACATTATCATTTAGCCACATAATGGGCCACAATAGCTTGTGTTTCAATGATAAACATAAGCTTCCTTTAACTTAAACTGGAGCCAAAATGCTTCCAAAAATATCTCAATATACACTTACACATACCCATAAATATTTTGTATTTCATGCCAAGTAATCATTTCCACAACTGCATTTAACATTACTATAAAAACACCATACATGATATATCTTACTCTCAAACGTCAGTTCTAATCTCAATGTCTTCCACATTTCAACTGTTTTTGGAAACAGCAGAATAAAGAAACACTGTTACAATTGTGTGCACTCATAGCCCTGTTCACAATGGAAATGATTCTGGATAACGGTAACAATCACAACCTCCTTCTAATCTCATTTACAATTAACCCTCAGGTTTCCTTCAAAAAATGTAATATAAAATTTTATCAAAAAAAAAAAAAAATCTAGACAATTTCTACAGGTTGGTGAGTAAAAATGGATTTGTGAAAAGATTCATGTAGCACAACCAATGAGTGTTTATATGTGATGTTTCAATGACTAGTACGGTATGTGTAAAATATGTACGCTAAAATATTTGCATGGACAGCTCGTACATATTTTACACCTTTGTGTACATACGCTTCACTGGTCATTTGTCTGAAAGTGACAGAGTACATACAGTACTAGTCAGCGAAACGTCACTTTACCATAATGGTGAAATGAAGGGTTTAAGTATATTTAGTTTATTTTATTTTTGTTAAACCAATTCTGTTTTAGTTCACCTCAATTAGATGTCCTATATATGAAATATCAAAAATCAAGTCTAGGGTAGAGAAATTTAGGGTGGGGCACGATGGCTTCACTTCACCATTATAGTGAAATGAACCACGGTTCATACTACCATTATGGTATTTCTACCCCGGTTCATATCATCATGCTCCAGAATACCATGCTACACTGATTCATTTGACAAGTTTTACCATGACATCCAAAAATAGTTGGTGTTCGTCTCCCTTATTGGTTGTCCTCATCTTGTAGCGGAAGTTTTGAGTGATGATTCTGCCGTCCTTGAACCAGGTGACGATAGGCTTGGGGTTAGCCGTACAATTACATTCTATAGAGAGGTTCTTGTTCTCCTGGTTCACCACTGGTTTGTCCGTGAACGTAGGGGCCGTCCCGGCTGGCTTTGGCTTGGCACCACCTGTACAACATCAATGTGGCATGTTTCATTTTACTTCTTGAAAGTATGCTATATTAACCTTTTCACCCCTATGTAACATTAGAAGACTCTTCCATGTATTGATCTGGATGAGTCCATTTTGGTCTACAGGGGTGAAAGGGTTAATTCACTTCAAAAATAACTACAAAAATTCTAATTCACAGAAGCTGATTTCATGTTCTTCTCACATCAACTGTCACGATGAAAAAGTAGATATTGCATGACTTCTCATGATTTCAAGAAATTCACATTATGGAATCCATTTATATAACAAAAGGTCCGTCTGAAATAAGTAACAAGTGTACGTATGCATCTAAAAGCCAGGAGAGAAAACCTTACATAATTGTGTTACATATCATAACTTGGTTGAATTGTGTAAGGTATCAACAGATACCCTATTTACCATAGGTTTGGTTTATTTATGTTTTACGTCCTATTAACAGCTATGGTCATTTAAGGACCTGTAAGACTTTGGTGGTGGAGGAAAGCCGGAGTTCCCGGAGAAAAACCACCGACCTACAGCCAGTACCTGGCGACCGCCCCACGTAGGCCTCGAACCCGCGACCCATTGGTTGAGGGCTAGTGGTAGCAGAATGTCAGACGCCTTAATCACTTGGCCATTGTGGCCCCCTTTACCATAGGACTCTTATATTACTGCAGTAGTAAAGATACATTGAAGATTGACTTCTATACACTAAGTCGTGCTATACCTACCCTGGAAGTTAAGGGTGATGTTGGCGTTAGATTCACCAAGGTCGTTGGCTGCAGTACACTTGTACGATCCGCCATCTTCTGTCTGAGGATCCTGTAAAAACAAGTACTCATGTAAGTTCTCAAGTGTGCTACTCAAAATTTGCTAAGGATCACATATATATTGTACTACATCTGTTTATAATTTACCAAATAAGCAATAGCAAGGGATTTTTTGCAGTATTTCATTGTTGTTTTGTTTCACATATATATTAAAATAATAAGGAACAGCAAACCTGCCACCAGAAAGATTAGGCAGTCATACTACCCTTTAATGCAACAATGAGGTACACACTTAAAAACTGCATACCAAAAACATCGCTCACAAGTATCCAACAACAGCACATGTCATGCCCCCCAGCACCATTCGACAGTGAATACCGTTTTCAAATCTTAAACCTTTCTGGCAGATAAGGAACTTTTAAGAATCTGCTGGGATTCAGATGTGGAGAGCAAGTCAATTAATTGAATGGGTTCTTTCTCCAGGTATTCTTTAAATGATGCTTGCTCTACAGGGTCTTCTGTTAATATCCATCAGAATAAAAGTTGGTCCGTTACAACCGTAAAGTCTATAACATAAACACCAAGAACCTCTCCACAGTAAATGTAATGTGTCACTTGTAAATATGCAGAGGTTGATGATAGCTCTGTATGCATAGATATCTACCTCACACTGTTCTATATCTCTGTATATAGAGATATCTACCTCAGACTGCTCTATATCTCTGTATGTGGAGATATCTACCTCACACTAGCCTATATCTCTGTATGTAGAAATATTTACCTCATACTGGTCTAGATCTCTGTATGTATAGATAACTACCTCACACTGGTCTATATCTCAGTATGTAGAGATATCTACCTCATACTGGTCTATATCTCTGTATGTAGAGATATCTACCTCACACTAGTCTATATCTCTGTATGTAGAGATATTTACCTCATACTGGTCTATATCTCTGTATGTATAGATATCTACCTCACACTGCTCTATATCTCTGTATGTAGAGATATCTACCTCATACTGGTCTATATCTCCGTATGTAGAGATATATACTTCATACTGGTCTATATCTCTGTATGTAGAGATATCTACCTCATACTGCTCTATATCTCTGTATGTAGAGATATCTACCTCACACTGGTCTATATATCTGTATGTATAGATATCTACCTCACACTGCTCTATATCTCTGTATGTAGAGATATCTACCTCATACTGGTCTATATCTCTGTATGTAGAGATATATACTTCACACATGAATATATTCATGTATCTAGATACACTAGTCTATATCTCAATATGTAAAGATATCTTCTTCACAAAACTATAAATAAGTCTCTACCATGCCTATTTCCTGGTGAGAAAAGATTCTTTCAAAGTGTTGACCACAATCAAAACCCAATGTTTCAGAGATGAGTAAGATAATACCCTGCAGTCTGTGAGACTGCTAACATTTGGAAATTAGTCAAATTCCTCTTCCAAAATTAGCATCTGAAGTTATTTTAAGCACTAGGGACTACTCCTGTGTAAACATTAGATATATAACAGAGATAGTTTGTAAGTTCCTGTCAAAGTCATCAGACTGAACCAGGTCTGTATCTCCAGTGTAATCTACGAGTCTACATGTATACATGTACATTTACAAATCTTTACTGTGGAGTGTAACATTTATTTTGAAGTGTATTCAATTTGTTGTTACAGCCATAAATGGTCTGGTAATACGTTGATGAAATGAACTCTGGAAAGTTTATTTCCTTGGAAGTGGTATTAAACATTTCCAAATGATAGGCTGAATGAAGACATTATGATTTCACCAATTTTGGCAATTTAATATTGGACTTCCAGACATTTTGAGTACAGTTTGCCTGTACTCAAGCCTAAAGCAGCTTAGTATATATATGCCAATTGACTATTGTCATTGCACATCTCTGTCCATTTCTTTTATTTTTATACAAAAGTTTTGAGAAAAGAAAATCAATATGTCTTCATGAAAAGCTTCAAGCCTTCAAATAGATTTACATCAAAATTGTCTGATATCATTGCCACTTCATTTTTAAAGTTTGAAGCGTTTATTAAACTCAACGTGGAGTAGCAGAGAGCACTTGTGTATCCATGGAAACAAGAGTGTAGCTCTCTTGAATACGGAGTCCGTCATTAACTCTAATTGGTAATAACAGACTTTAGTATCAAAACAACAATGCAGTCAAACACTTGTTGCTATGGAAACACTTATAACCAGGTTTTCGTACATCCTGCCAAGAAGCTATTATGATGTTAGGCAATAATAATAGCTGAGATAAAGGCTATCATTGTGTTTTTCCAATATTTCAATAGCAAAATTATAATGAAGTACTTGTTTCTTGTTTTCATTGATATACAGGAAACCATTTCCACATAGGACCTCCCACCCTTCTTTCTACACAACAGTTAACCAAGTATCAGCAGACAGTCATTAAAAGCATACACCCCTTAAATTTCATAATGAACTATTCCAACCTTTGAATTGGAAGAGTTCAAATTTGTCTTCAGGGATGATTGAGTTAAAATCATGAAATTTCCCCTTTTTTTTAACATAAGATTTGTTTGTTTGTGTTTTATGTCCTATTAACAGCTATGGTCATTTAAGGACGTGCCAGGGTTTGGCGGTGGAGGAAAGTTACCAGAGAAAAAGAACCTACCTACGGCCAGTATCTGGCCACTGACCCTTGTAGGTCTCGAACCCGCGACCCAGTGGTGGAGGACTAGTGGTAGCAGAATGTCAGACGCCTTAACCACTTGGCCACTGCGGACCCTTTTTGGGAGGTAAATGCTCATGGTAGAAGACGATATGTCATAAATTGTAAGAACCTGAGCCTGTGACATTTGTCACCAGATACATAGATTGTAAGAACCTGAGCCTGTGACATTTGTCACCAGATACATAGATTGTAAGAACCTGAGCCTGTGACATTTGTCACCAGATACATAGAAGAACAAATAAGATATAATGACCAACTTCAAAACTAGCAACATTCACCCTGTACAGGGTTCTTCAGGTTCGTTTCAAAAACACAATGTAATGATGTCAAAATTGTACAATTACACTACAATTGTAGCGTGATGTCATAATGTACACAAGATTGGTGGACAATCTAACACAAAATTTTACTGTGACCTGTTTAGACTAAGGTTTTAAAATATAGATAAAATGATTTGTCCTAGTTTTGGTGGATTTCACAAACTAACAATGAACTCAGAACACGCATGAGCTAGTGTACATAGACAACAAACTTAAACCAAATCTTCACGAAATTTCCATTTTAATAAACATATTCCTGAATGTGCTGGTGATAAATTTAATGTATTAAATTTATATCAATTACGATCATCTGACACTATTCTAAGAGAAAAGAAAGATCATTTCATAAAAAAAAAAAAAAAAACCAGTCTGAACACATGTTAAGGGTGTCAGCTGCTAGTTTCAAAGTCGGTCATTATACCTTATATTTTCTGTACTTAACAACTTCACAAACATTGAAACTTTTAATATACATGTATATTCAGTGATGTGCCATGTTTCAAGTTACACTATTTTCCAATTGGATTCTATGTTGATTTACTTTTTTTCAAAAACTGTTCGTGACCTCATTCAACATCCAATTCTGATAAAATTTAACATCTTGTTGGAGAATTAACCAATCTTTAATTACTCCGGTAATATTTGTATTATTATCCCTGGCTTAGTTGTTGAGATATCACTTTTCATCCAAGCATAAAGATTATACTTTAACATCATTCCCATGGACACAATGCTTAATTTTGACATAAAAATTGTTTTTGCCAAATAACCTTTCATGGTTAGAAATATTTTCAACAGATAATTATGTAAATGGTACCTTAAGGAGTGCTGTACAATTCTCTAGCTTTGAGCTGAATTAAAACAATTTTTGACTTAAAACGAAGCCAGGACAGTTAATTTTCCAGAAGTAAATTAACATGGAATCCAATAGGAAAATGATGTAAGGTGAAAGACTCATGTCGATGTATATATTGACTATCTTTGGTGAAAATGGTACTGTGTAATGGTGAAAACTTTACAGTCAACTTCCCTAAAACTCTATAGTTTGGATAGTTGTAGTGGCGTATTATCCTGGAGCACATGTTTGTTGTTTGAATATCTAAAGGAAGTGATATTTCAATCATTTAGAGCTGAGGATGATAAACAGGAGCAGTTTCTCCTAACTTCCTGTTGTAATGAAAATGTTAGCCAAAATTTGATGATCTATAAATAAAATCTGTACAAACATTTCTTTCCTTTTTACTGAAACCCAAATCCATTAGATTTGGTAAGTTTCATTGGGTAATGTGTACATCAGGATGGTGCCTTTAACTTACAGGTGTAATGATGATTAAGTATATATATCTATAAGGACTGTGGGTGGTGCAGACATTCATCACCATTACCAGCCCCAGTGTTATAACTAGCTGTACACACAACGTCCTAAGAGCAATAGGATCTGGCCTTCTGTGATTCTCACAACATTCCAGTTAATGACTTAAAAAACTGCTGCAAGGAAATGCAAGAAATTTCAGCTAATTTGTAACAGACAGAAAATAAAACGTGTTTGTCTGTGCATGATCGGACTGAACATGAGTGATTATTATTGTCTACCCTGCCCGTCCATCAGTAGGGTGTTTCCTCTCCTCCTGTTTGAAATAGACGCAGGTTATGTAATTATCCTAACAGTGCATAAGTGTTTCCTTTCCCGAGACAGCATCAGTAGGATTGGCTACGAACATTCCCACAAAACCAATTTAAAGTGATTGTGTTGCACCAGATATGACAGTAATGACTTGGCTCCATAGAAACTCACACTAGACATCTGTACGCTCTAAACTGGAAAATTATTTGAATTCAAAAACTTTTGGATCTTATGTGAAGTGTGTATCTAACTGTTTAAAGCCATCCATTAACTCATTCACCCCTGAAGATACATTTAAACTCTTCTAATTCAAAGGTTGGAATAGTCCATTATGAAATTTCAGGGGTGAATGAGCTAAAGTGTCTATTTAACAGGAGGAACTGCAGTGAAAACTACATTGGAATCTCAGTAATCTGCTCTTGGAATGTCAATACATTTTTATAAATCTGTAAAATCTGATGTTCAAGACACTTAGGAAAAATAGCAAAGTAAATCACTGTCTATCCTTAGGCTGAAACAAAACAGGAAATGCAAGAAGTGAATATAACATTTCAACCAGAACCTCTAAGGTACAATTGTACTATACTTCATGTCTAATCAGTCAAAAGTCAAACGATTTTTGAGTGTTGGCTGAAAAGGCATAAAAAACTGTAAATAATCTTCCCTTCTGAAGACAACAGCCTAGAGACAACTCTTATCTTTCCCCATGAAGGCAACAGTCTAGAATCAACTCTAGTCTTCCCTCCTGAAGACAACAGTCTAGAGGCTACCATAGTCTACCCTCCTGAAGACAACAGTCTAGAGGCTACCATAGTCTACCCTTCTGCAGACAACAGTCTATAATCAACTCTAGTCTTCCCTCCTGAAGACAACAGTCAAGAATCAACTCTAGTCTACCCTTCTGAAGACAACAGTCTAGAATCAACTCTAGTCTACCCTACTGCAGACAACAGTCTAGAGGCTACCATAGTCTTCCCTCCTGAAGACAACAGTCTAGAGGCTACCATAGTCTACCCTTCTGCAGACAACAGTCTAGAATCAACTCTAGTCTACCCTTCTGCAGACAACAGTCTAGAGGCTACCATAGTCTACCCTTCTGCAGACAACAGTCTAGAGGCTACCATAGTCTACCCTTCTGCAGACAACAGTCAAGAATCAACTCTAGTCTACCCTTCTGCAGACAACAGTCTATAATCAACTCTAGTCTTCCCTCCTGAAGACAACAGTCTAGAGGCTACCATAGTCTACCCTCCTGCAGACAACAGTCTAGAATCAACTCTAGTCTTCCCTCCTGAAGACGACAGTCAAGAATCAACTCTAGTCTACCCTTCTGAAGACAACAGTCTAGAATCAACTCGATCTAGTCTTCCCTCCTGAGGACAACAGTCTAGCGACTACCGTAGTCTTACCTCCTGAATACAATAGTCTAGAGACTACCATAGCCTGCCCTCCTAAATACAACAGTCTAGAGGCTACCATAGTCTACACTTCTGAAGACAACAGTCTAGAATCAAATCAACTCTAGTCTTCCCTCCTGAAGACAACAGTCTACAGCCTACTGAGGTCTTCCTTTCTAAAGACAACAGTCTAGAATCAACTCTAGTCTTCCCTCCTGAAGACAACAGTCTAGAATCAACTCTAGTCTTCCCTCCTGCAGACAACAGTCTAGAGACTACTGTAGTCTTCCCTCTGAAGACAACAGTCTAGAAACTACCATAGTCTGCCCTCCTAAAGACAACAGTCTAGAGGCTACCATAGTCTACACTTCTGAAGACAACAGTCTAGAATCAACTCTAGTCTTCCCTCCTGAAGACAACAGTCTAGAATCAACTCTAGTCTTCCCTCCTGAAGACAACAGTCTAGAGACTATTTTAGTCTTCCCTCCTGAAGACAACAGTCTAGAGGCTACCATAGTCTGCCCTCCTGAAGACAACAGTCTAGAGACTACCATAGTCTTCCCTCCTGAAGACAACAATCTACAGACTACCATAGTCTTCATTATTGAAGACAACAGACTATTATATTTATTTCCGACAACAACAGTTCAGATACAACTCTTATATACATTCCTGAAGACAACAGTCTAGAGACCACTATTGTCTGCCTATGTGAAAACAACACTTTAGATCTTTTAAACACAAAGTCTGGTAAGGCAAGGCAAAGGAACAAAGAATATTCTTGTAACAAAGTTTGGTCACAGGTATTTATTTATAACAGCAGGTCAGAGAAGAAAGGTCCCTACCTTGATCTGTAACATGGCTGTGTAGCTGTCAGACACGCCTGTAACTGGTGTGAGGGTTACACTATAACGGCCCCCATCACTGATCTCCTGGGTCTCGCGGAACCATCGTATCTTGGGAATCGGCTTGGCCTCGAGGTTACAAGTCATCACCAGCATAGCTTTCTCCTGCTTGATGGATGGTTTCTGTAGGAAATGGGGAGCCTTTCCCTCCGGGGCTCTGTGGACATATTGGACAAAAATAAGGGGACTACACAGGTAAATCGTTCCTGTAAGAAATATAGATATAACAAAAAATACCATTGTGTACTGATTCTCTCATCTAAACTTGGCTACCCAAACATTTTGAATTTTTATCATTCCCATAAGTTGTAACACAATGCCTAAATAGAAAAAATATCACCAAAGCAACATAGGTTTTCACAATAACAATACGTGTAGCTACGTATTTAAACATTTTACAATGACCATACATTTAGTTAAGTATTTGAAGGTTTCACAATAACGATATGTGTAGTTAAGTATTTGAAGGTTTCACAATAACGATACGTGTAGTTAAGTATTTGAAGGTTTCACAATAATGATACGTGTAGTTAAGTATTTAAAGGTTTCACAATAACGATACGTGTATTTAAGTATTTAAAAGTTTCACAATAATGATACGTGTAGTTAAGTATTTAAAAGTTTCACAATAACGATACGTGTATTTAAGTATTTGAAGGTTTCACAATAACGATATGTGTAGTTAAGTATTTAAAGGTTTCACAATAACGATACGTGTAGTTAAGTATTTAAAGGTTTCACAATAACAAAACGTGTAACTACTCATTTAAAAGTTTCACAATAACGATACGTGTATTTAAGTATTTGAAGGTTTCACAATAACGATACAGTTAAGTATTTGAAGGTTTCACAATAACGATACGTGTAGTTAAGTATTTGAAGGTTTCACAATAACGATACGTGTAGTTAAGTATTTGAAGGTTTCACAATAACGATACGTGTAGTTAAGTATTTGAAGGTTTCACAATAACGATACGTGTAGTTAAGTATTTGAAGGTTTCACAATAACGATACGTGTAGTTAAGTATTTGAAGGTTTCACAATAACGATACGTGTAGTTAAGTATTTGAAGGTTTCACAATAACGATACGTGTAGTTAAGTATTTGAAGGTTTCACAATAACGATACGTGTAGTTAAGTATTTGAAGGTTTCACAATAACGATACGTGTAGTTAAGTATTTGAAGGTTTCACAATAACGATACGTGTAGTTAAGTATTTAAAGGTTTCACAATAACGATACAAATAGTTTAGTATTTAAAGGTTTCACAATAACGATACGTGTATTTAAGTATTTAAAGGTATCACAATAACGATACGTGTAGTTTAATATTTAAAGGTTACACAATAACAATACGTGTAACTGCTCATTTAAAAGTTTCACATTAACGATACATGTAGCTAGGTTTTATAAGACTCTACAGAGGTAATGGTAGTGTACTTACGCTGCTTTCTTTCCTGTAATAAACAGAAATAAAAACAAATTTAAAAAGTGCATCAAATGTTCAATATCTACAATGGTTTTTCACCAGTGACATGTTAAATATATCAACAGTGGGATACAATACACTGTACACTCTGTTATAAACGACAGGATACAATACACTTTACACTCTGTTAGAAAACAACAAGATACAATACTGTACACTCTGTTAGAAAAAAACAGGATACAATACTGTACACTCTGTTATAAACAACAAGATACAATACTGTACACTCTGTTAGAAAAAAACAAGATACAATACTGTACACTATGTTATAAACAACAAGATACAATACACTGTACACTCTGTAAGAAAACAACAGGATACAATACTGTACACTCTGTTATAAACAACAAGATACAATACTGTACACTCTGTTAGAAAAAAACAAGATACAATACTGTACACTATGTTATAAACAACAAGATACAATACACTGTACACTCTGTTAGAAAACAACAAGATACAATACAGTACACTCTGTTAGAAAACAACAAGATACAATACTGTACACTCTGTAAGAAAACAACAAGATACAATACACTGTACACTCTGTTATAAACAACAAGATACAATACACCATACACTCTGTTAGAAACAACAGGATACAATACACTGTACACTCTGTTAGAAAACAACAAGATAAAATACTGTACACTCTGTAAGAAAACAAGAAGATACAATACACTGTACACTCTGTTATAAACAACAAGATACAATACTCCATACACTCTGTTAGAAACAACAGGATACAATACACTGTACACTCTGTTAGAAACAACAGGATATAATACTGTACACTCTGTTAGAAACAACCGGATACAATACACTGTACACTCTGTTAGAAACAACAAGATACAATACACCTTACACTCTGTTAGAAACAACAGGATACAATACACTGTACACTCTGTTAGAAACAACGGGATACAATACACTGTACACTCTGTTAGAAACAACAGGATACAATACTGTACACTCTGTTAGAAACAACAGGATATAATACTGTACACTGTTAGATACAACAGGATATAATACTGTACACTCTGTTAGAAACAACAGGATACAATACACTGTACACTCTGTTATAAACAAAATGAAACAATACAGTACACTCTGTTAGAAACAACAAGATACAATACTAAACCCTCTGTTAAACAACAGGATATGATACACTGTACACTCTGTTAGAAACAACAGGATACAACACACTGCAAACAGTGTTAGAAACAACATGATCTAACAACACGCTGTAAGGTAAAGGCATAAAAAACATTCAAGAGCAGTAAGTGTAATGGTATATACAACAGGTCTGGATATTTGACAGAGCAGTAAGGGTAATGGTATATACAACAGGTCTGGATACTTGACAGAGCAGTCAGGGTGATGGTATATACAACAGGTCTGTATATTTGACAGAGCAGTCAGGGTGATGGTATATACAACAGGGCTGGATATTTGACACAGCAGTAAGGACGATAGTATATACAACAGGTCTGGATATTTGACACAGCAGTCAGGGTAATGGTATATACAACAGGTCTGGATACTTGACAGAGCAGTCAGGGTGATGGTATATACAACAGGTCTGTATATTTGACAGAGCAGTCAGGGTGATGGTATATACAACAGGTCTGTATATTTGACAGAGCAGTCAGGGTGATGGTATATACAACAGGGCTGGATATTTGACACAGCAGTCAGGGTAATGGTATATACAACAGGACTGGATATTTGACACAGCAGGAAGGGTGATGGTATATACAACAGGTCTGGATATTTGACAGAGCAGTAAGGGTGATGGTATATACAACAGGTATGGATATTTGACACAGCAGTAAGGATGATGGTATTTACAACAGGACTGGATATTTGACACAGCAGTCAGGGTAATGGTATATACAACAGGTCTGGATACTTGACAGAGCAGTCAGGGTGATGGTATATACAACAGGTCTGGATATTTGACAGAGCAGTCAGGGTGATAGTATATACAACAGGTCTAGATATTTGACACATCAGAAGGGTAATGGTATATACAACAGGTCTGGATATTTGACAGAGCAGTCAGGGTGATGGTATATACAACATGTCTGGATATTTGACACAGCAGTAAGGGTTAGGGTATATACAACAGGTCTGGATATTTGATAGAGCAGTCAGGGTGATGGTATATACAACAGGTCTGGATATATGACACAGCAGTAAGGGTGATGGTATATACAACAGGTCTGGATATGTGACAGAGCAGTAAGGGTGATGGTATATACAACAGGTCTGGATATTTGACACAGCAGTAAGGGTGATAGTATATACAACAGGTCTGGATATTTGACAAACAGTCAGGGTGATGGTATATACAACAGGACTGGATATTTGACAGAGCAGGAAGGGTGATGGTATATACAACAGGTATGGATATGTGACAGAGCAGTAAGGGTGATGGTATATACAGCAGGTCTGGATATGTGACAGAGCAGTAAGGGTGATGGTATATACAGCAGGTCTGGATATGTGACAGAGCAGTAAGGGGGATGGTATATACAACAGGTCTGGATATATGACACAGCAGTAAGGGTGATGGTATATACAACAGGTCTGGATATGTGACAGAGCAGTAAGGGTGATGGTATATACAACAGTCTTACCTTCCATCATAACACATATACTTTTAGTTTTGGTCACTGAAACACAATGTGTCCTAAGTGTTCAAGTAAATCATTAACATCAGTGTTACTACAGCACTTTCAGCTTCACAGTGAAGTAACACAACAGGTGAATAAACCTTAAACAAACGCTAACAGTAGTTTTGATAGGATGCCCTATACCATATTGAAGTTTCATATTTATTTATTTTATCGTTTATCGAAAAATAATCTGAACATAGGATAATGCTTTTATTATGATGTATGACCAGTATAATATTTTATTGCCATGTTTCCGCCCAAAGGAAATTTTGTACATATTTGCTGCAAAGGTAGCAACAATTGATTAACACAATTTTGTATACAAACTATTGCCTGTTACATGTATTTTTAGATTCAAATGATTTACATTGATTATCATATTTTATAAGCATGTTAACTTATTTTAGGAACCAAAGAGAATAAAAGCAAATTGAACTCCAGGTTACTAAGATCCTTGCCTTGGTTTGATCTGTTTGTGTTTTACGTCCTTTTTACAGCTATGGTCATTTAAGGACGTGCCAGGTTTTGGTGGTAGAGGAAAGCTGGAGTTCCCGGAGAAAAACCACCGACCTACGGCCAGTACCTGGCGACTGCCCCACCTAGGCTGGGAACCCCCGACCCAGTGGTAGATGGCTACTGGTAATAGAATGTCAGACCCCTTAACCACTTGGCCACCGCGGCCCCTTCCTTGCCCTTGGACCTTCATTTTTGTTCAGTCCTAAGAGAGTGTTCAGAAACACTGCTAACAATGTATTATAACTGTCATTCATATATTTACTATAAATAAATTGAAGTATGAGAGTCACTGATAAGTGATGGTTTGGACAAGTATTTAAACTATTTAACTTTTGACCCCTTGTCCTAACCTTGACCTCTTAGGTCAAAGGTTATGATCCATAAGAAATGTAGCAATGATCTGACCTTTGTCCCAATGGACCTGATAGTGTAATAAGACAGACGATCTGATCATGATAAACAAAAGTTTCAAAAGGAAAGGTTTGTCATTCCTTTAGAACACATAGTCTACAAAATGTGTTAATAGACACACGCTGGACACACACAGACAAAAATAATACTATAAACACTGTCTTATTTCATTGGGGATGATATGACAATTGATTCCAAAATAAATATGTCAGACTCCTGCGGTATTATGATCTACCTGGCTAGGAGCTAAGCGATTCATTAGAAATAAACTCAGATATGCAAATATTGACTCTTATTACAAAATTTTATATCCAGTTCTTTATTTGATATGTGCAGACAGGAACACAAACCTTCAAAGTTGAGTGTTATGGTGGCAGTGGACTCGCCAAGGGTGTTCTTAGCCACGGCCTTGTACTCCCCACCATCTTCCTTGGCAGGGTTGGCTATCTCCAGACACACAGTGTAATCGTTCTTGTTAGCACTAACTGTCGTCTTGTGGCGCCCTCCATCCTTTATTATTTTTGTGCCCTGGTACCACACAATCGTTGGTTTTGGGTCGGCAGACAATTTACACTCGAACACGATTTTGTCTCCTGCCTGTTTGATGACAGGTTTCTGAGTGAATATGGGTTTCTGACCCTGAGCTTTCTTCTCTTCACCTGCAAACAATGGAGAACAGCTCTAGTCACAGTAAAAGTAATAAAACTGTTTGAAAACGCAACCAGAAATCATGTTAGATATGATGTTTAGAATGATAAAGTTTTATAATGTAACCTGGAATATCAAAATATAACCTGAACTATTATAATATAACCTGAACTATTATTATGTAACCTGGTTATATTATAATATAACCTGAACTATTATAATGTATCCTGAACTATTATGATATAACCTGAACTATTATAATGTAACCTGGAGCATTATAATTTAACCTGAACTATTATAATGTAACCTGAACTATTATAATATAACCTGACCTATTATAATGTAACCTGAACTATCATAATATAACCTGGACTATTATAATGTCTGAACTATTATAATATAACATGAACTATAATAATATAACCTGAACTATTATAATATAACCTGAACTATTATAATGTAACCTGAACTATTATAATGTAACCTAAACTATTATAATATAACCTGAACTATTATAATATAACCCGAACTATTATAATGTAACCTGAACTATTATAATGTAACCTGAACTATTATTATGTAACCTGAACTATTATAATATAACATGAACTATTATAATATAACCTGAACTATTATAATGTAACCTGGAGCATTATAATTTAAACTGAACGTTGCTTTGTTATACATCAACATCAATAAACTCTGTCTAAAAACATGTGTGTTACTGAAGTGAATAGCTTAGATGCTTGTTATTCATTAAATTAGAAGGAAATTCCCTTTAACTCATCTACCCCTGAAGACACATTTGAACTCTTCTAATTCAAAGGGTGGAATAGTTCATTATGAAATTTCAGGGGTGAATGAGTTGATAGGTAAGCTAACTATCTACCGTGTAGGTAACTGTTAGCTGAGGAGGGCACCTCAGTTACTTAACTATTGAATGATTTACATACTGTCAAAATTAAGCCTGATTGTAGCATTGCTCTCTCCGAGAGCATTCTTAGCTGTAACCCGATAGTTTCCAGCATCCTTTGCATTGACTCCATCAATTTCCAGTACAATAAAGTATTTCTTCTGGTCCTGTGGACTGGTAGTAATTTTGATACGATCTGCAATAAAGCAAGGAAAAGATCTCAAAATTCATTTCATAATTAAATAGTGATGATACTGTTGGTTTCACATTTGGTTTCATTATAATATTTAATGGCCAAAGAACACCTGTACAAAGGAAAAATTTATTAATTTGAAATTAAAAATAAAGATAACTTTTCTTTCAAAAAGGCTCTGCTTATTTTATGAAGAAATTTAAACCAAACATTGAGACGAAAGATTTTGCAGAACTGCCTGTTAGGGTCATTGAAGTCAAAGATTTCATAGAAATATTAAGTAGCTGCTAGATAGAGTCATTTGATTCAGAAGATGGAATGGTTTTCAGGTAGGATCTTTAAGACGAAAGACTTCACATATATATGGGATAGGTAGGATACTCTGAAAATGAGATTGAAGATTTCTCATAAAATAAGGGGTTTATATACTGGATAGTTTTCCTTTATACAAATGCTGAACAGAACTATAGAGAAGAATCATTTATACCAAACATTTTCCTTAACTCATTCACCCCTGAAGACACATTTGAACTCTTCCAATTCAAAAGTTGGAATAGTTCATTATTAAATTTCAGGGGTGATGAGTAAAGTATTGAACAGCTATAGTGTACTCTGTACATTGATGTAGAGTTTTGTTAAAGGGAGATAACCTACCACCAGCCTTGATCAAAGTATCGTCCCTGAACCATGTGATCTCCGGAGCAGGGTCGGCTGTCAGTTGACATTCAAACAACAGTTTACGTCCATTGTCTGCCTGCTTGGTAACAGGCTTCTGTATAAAGTTGGGAGCAATTCCATCTTGTCTGAAATAAAAACAACTTAGTTACGAACAATCCTTTGTGATAAGATAGTTTGTTCTTTTTGCTATATGAAAAAAAGATAAAAATTGTTTTTTAAACAAATGTCTGCCGATCTCTATTAATATTCATCTTATTATTCCACATTGCTCTCAGAAAATTGTATTCAGTATAATACACAACAAATATGAAACACACACAACATACTTTTTTATGGAAAAGAATGGAGGAAAGATAATAGGTCCAGTTAGAGGGATATAAAGTAACAATTACCTGCCACAGGGTTCTGATATATATAGAGCATGGCAGAGCTACTTTAGGGATATCAAAGCCCACACACTGGTAAGTGATCAATTAGTTAACAAGTGTCTGTGTACTGTAGGAAATCGGACCTCTACCATACATGGACACTGACTCCACACTATCAAATAGCAAAACCAGCCTTTACTCTCTGCAGTCATTACAATACAACTAATCCACTTTCTCAAGCTGCTAGGTCTCCAAACAAACAATGTTTATTCACAACAAAAAAATTAGTACAATACAAACTCCATAATATATTACCAGAACATTGGTAATACACTACTACAATATCATTCATATGTGGCAGATTTTAATTGTACATAGGAATTTCCCTTTAGCTCAGTGGCAGAGCATCCAACTAGGAAGTCTGGGATCACAGGTTCGATCCCCAGTGGAAGCACACAACTCTCTTTCCTGTTACAAATGGTGTCCTTGGCCCTTCCTGTGGTGACAGGGAGTTAGAACCTGGGTTGTGGAGTTTGGAGGATACAAGCACAAGAGGATATAAGCACCAGAGGATGTCAGCATCATGTGATATAAGCACTAGAGGATATAAACACCAGGTGATATAAGCACCAGAGGATGTCAGCACCATGTGATATAAGCACTAGGTGATACAAGCACCATGTGATATAAGCACTAGGTGATACAAGCACCGTGTGATACAAGCACCAGGTGATATAAGCACTAGGTGATATAAGCACCAGGTGAATTAAGCACCTAGTGATATAAGCACCAGGTGATATAGGCACCAAGTGATATAAGCACCAAGTGATATAAGCACCAGGTGATACAAGCACCAGGTTATAAAAGCACCAGGTGATATCAACACCAGGTGATATAAGCACCAGGTGATACAAGCACCAGGTGATACAAGCACCAGGTGATATAATCACCATGTGATATAAGCACCAAGTGATATAAGCACTAGGTGATACAAGCACCAGGTGATACAAGCACCAGGTGATATAAGCACCATGTGATATAAGCACCAAGTGATATAAGCACTAGGTGATACAAGCACCAGGTGATACAAGCACCAGGTGATATAAGCACCAGGTGATACAAGCACCAGGTGATATAAGCACCAGGTGATATAAGCACTAGAGGATTTAAGCAACAGGTGATACAAGCACCAGGTGATATAAACACTAGAGAATTTAAGCAACAGGTGATACAAGCACCAAGTGATATAAGCACCATGTGATATAAGCACCATGTGATATAAGCACTAGGTAATACAAGCACCAGGTGATATAAGTACCATGTGATATAAGCAACAGTTGATACAAGCACCAGAGAATATAAGCACTATTAACATTTAATAAGCATGAAAATGATATGCCTTTTTGTTGACTACTTTATATCTTGGCAACACACACAAAATCTCCAAAATAGCTCATCCCAAACACTTGATATCTATATAACACAATAAGGGAAGGGAGGGGCCCAGTAAAACAGTTAACTAATTTCCTAAGAGATTAGGTCTACTCATTCAATTTGGAAAGAATGATCCAGTTAATATTGTATCTCAGGAGTGAAAGTGTTTCAGCTATAGGTACATGTACATTGACTAGTGTGAGTTGTAAGACTGAGTATGGGTTTTTGCTAAATTAAAAAGTGGAATACTTATATCAATACCATGACTATTTGGTATAGTACAGTGGTCTGGACTAAACAAAACAATAGAAGCTTTAGAATTACATATTTATTTGTCATATTTACTTCAGGTGAAGAGGGCTCATGTATACCACAGGGCAGCTTTGGTTTTCCACTCCTGAATTATGTATTCTGTAGGAGTACATGTTTTACTATAGTAGCGTTCTGTAACTTTTCTACTACACTCGACAGGCTAGTCAGGCAAGCGTACAGATGTGTTTGTTGTTTTCTGACGTAGTATAGATAAGACAAACTATTATCTAACAAAGCCACTTTCCAGCCTCCTGTTGTGAAAGTCTACAAGAGTTGCACCCCTTCCAGCAGTGTGCTATGATTCAATATCATGAAAAGACTAAGGAATAGGCTGCACCAGTTGTAATTGTGAAGAAGATTTCCACTTAAGGTCTGTTTATACACAGGAGATACAACAATACTAACTCATTTACCCCTGGAGACATATTTGAACTCTTCCAATTCAAAGGTTTGAATAGTTCATTATGAAACTTCAGGGGTGAATGAGTTCGTTATGAAATTTCAGGGGTGAATAAGTTAACTTCTGAATTTTCATAATGAACTATTCCAACCTTTGAATTGGAAGCGTTCAAATGTGTCTTCAGGGGTGAATGAGTTCCAGGATGTTTTTTTCTGGTTTTGAGTGACTTTTGATACTTGACATCAATATCCAGTACACCCTATTTTAAATATTGTTTAAACTACGTTTAGCAGCCAATTCTGTAAGGTGTAGCTATCAGTCAGAAATCGGTGAACTGAGCAGATTACATCCTAATTGTGTGTAACAGAAGAAAGAGGAAATGTAATGGCCAGACCGGGGTTCGAACCTGGAACCCTCCGAACTCTAGACGGACGTTCTATCAATTGAGCTACCTGGACAGAGACGATCAACCCAGCCCAGTTCCGCTTAATTCCTCCCTTCTTTTTCTAAGTCTTCGCCCCCGAAGACACAACTATTTACAACCCAAGTTCGGGTATCCCCTTGCTAAGCGTACTTCCAAGAAACAAGGGTTGGCAAGCTCGCCAATTTTTGTAACAGGAGTGAGAGAAAATCTAATGGCCAGACCCGGATTCGAACAGGGGACCCTCCAAACTCTAGATGGACGCTCTACCAATTGAGCTACCTGGTCGCTGACGATCAACCCAGCCCAGTTCAACTACACACATATAGAAAGATCATATTTGTCATGTTGTCTAGTTTTATCTGTAAACAAGCTAGCAAACATTATTTTAACAGAGTTATGTACAACATTAAGCCCCCCAGTACCCATTATTGACATTGATGTATATCTCCTACAGAGGAAATATATCCCTCCCTGTGATACTAACTCGTCAATTACATTAAACACCAATGTAACCTTTTCACCTCTACCAGATAAACCAGCTGTGCAGTGTAAACCAAAATTCCATAGCCTACATTTTAACTTATGGTATTGGACTTTGCATGCTTTACAAGCAACAGTGTAGGCAAACTAGCAGAAAAACAAATGTTTCAAATACTTCCAACATCTTACACCTGCTGATAGAAATCTCATCAAAGGCTTTAACTCATTCACCCCTGAAATTTCATAATGAACTATTCCAACCTTTGAATTGGAAGAGTTCAAATATGTCTTCAGGGATAAATGAGTTAAATTTGGTCCCCAGTCTCAGGGACATTGCCCTGCTTATACGAATAAACAACCTTTTTTATTCCAAACTAAGTGAAAGACGAAGCCGGTGGGCCGTAACAGTCACCTATGTAAAATGCAATTGTTACATGTTATTGACAATTGTGATAAAGAATAACAGTAAATATAATCAAAAACATCTTTTATTTTTAACTGTAGATGAGCTTTTAGAAAATTATGTTGGGGAGTGACCAACACTTTATATACAGCTATGAAATGATAATACTGAATAAAGAATACCCACCGCCCCACCTAAACGAGGATATAGTTTAACTGCAATCATATCAGAATTCCATTCCTATCCCGAGCTCGTTGTGTTTGAATATTACACCTAGTTTTCCCCTATTCCTCAATCGCCTAGACTGGCCGCGTCTCTAGAATATTTAATAATTAAGAAAACAACTTGAACTCTAGAAATGTTGATCACTTGGATGTCTGATTCTAGACTAGGTTCTGAACTAGGGGGAGATAAGCTAGTAGTAAAATGCAGCCAAGAAATTCTTCATAAACTTAAGGGCTGGTAGCCAGTCCATCAATCGCCTTGCATACTGTGTATCTTAGCAATGGATAACAGAACCCACAAAACCTCAACTAAAAGTAAAGGCGTTGGCTCCACACATTCAACAAAATTCCATCTAAATTTGAATTGTATTCCACTGAAAATCAACAAAATGTACCTTAATTAGAGATTAGAGGAAATCTTACCAACATGAATAAGAGAACTGTTTAAGACAACACAACTTCCCATGCTACAACCTATAATCATAACATGCAAATAACTTCTCTGACATCTTTTTATAGTTACAGACCTACAGCCTAATATCTATCGTCTGACAACATGTAACATAGCTCTGGATGGGTGTAGCTATTTCCTGTAGGTACATACACATAATGGACAGACCATCTTCAGCTTTCAGAGCAATAACCCAGGTATTATTTACATGTGTACACCTTGGCAAGCTTCCATCAGATAGCAGCAGGAACAGAGGAGAACTTTCTCAGCATGCATTGCACCTTGTAAGAATAGGCATTTCCTGTCTTGTTTTAGAACTTTTCTTTCAGATCAAATATGTAAAATACAGGCCACTTGCCACGATCACAGTTTAGGGACCGTAAACCAAGATACTGTAGTTAAGGTCAAATCACTATGATCCTAATACTTAATTTCATCTCGGTTATTCTTCACAGGAACTCGGAGACAAGTTATTAACTCATTCACCCCTGAAATTTCATGATGAACCATTCCAACCTTTGAATTGGAAGAGTTCAAATGTGTCTTGAGGGGTGAATGAGTTGAAGACAAATAATTGGTTTGAGGCAGGAGCATATGCAAGTTTATAACCCAACTCCAAGATTATCAGTTTAACATCATAACACAAACATCGTAACACAAATGTACAGATAGCAAAATGAAAAAGTACAGGTACAGATCACATGGTCTATCTATACAGGTACAGATCACATGGTCTATCTATACAGGTACTGATCACATGGTCTACCTGTACAGATCACATGGTCTATCTATACAGGTACATATAACATGGTCTATCTATACAGGTACTGATCACATGGTCTATCTATACAGGTACATATAACATGGTCTACCTGTACAGGTACAGATCACATGGTCTATCTATACAGGTACATATAACATGGTCTACCTGTACAGGTACATATAACATAGTCTATCTATACAGGTACAGATCACATGGTCTATCTATACAGGTACATATCACATGGTCTACCTGTACAGGTACAGATCACATGGCCTATCTATGCAGGTACAGATCACATGGTCTATCTATACAGGTACAGATCACATGGTCTAGCTATACAGGTACATATAACATGGTCTACCTGTACAGGTACAGATCACATGGTCTATCTATACAGGTACAGATCACATGGTATATCTATACAGGTACAGATCACATGGTCTATCTATACAGGTACATATAACATGGTCTACCTGTACTGGTACAGATCACATGGTCTATCTATACAGGTACAGATCACATGGTCTATCTATACAGGTAAAGATCACATGGTCTATCTATACAGGTACTGATCACATGGTCTACCTGTACAGGTACAGATCACATGGTCTATCTACACAGGTACAGATCACATGGTCTATCTATACAGGTACATATAACATGGTCTACCTGTACAGGTACAGATCACATGGTCTACCTGTACAGGTACTGATCACATGGTCTACCTGTACAGATTACATGGTCTATCTATACAGGTACAGATCACATGGTCTATCTATACAGGAACTGATCACATGGTCTACCTGTACAGGTAAAGATCACATGGTCTATCTATACAGGTACATATAACATGGTCTACCTGTACAGGTACAGATCACATGGTCTATCTATACAGGTACTGATCACATGGTCTACCTGTACAGGTAAAGATCACATGGTCTATCTATACAGGTACATATAGCATGGTCTACCTGTACAGGTACAGATCACATGGTCTATCTATACAGGTACTGATCACATGGTCTACCTGTACAGATCACATGGTCTATCTATACAGGTACATATAACATGGTCTATCTATACAGGTACCGATCACATGGTCCATCTATACAGGTACATATAACATGGTCTACCTGTACAGATACAGATCACATGGTCTATCTATACAGGTACATATAACATGGTCTACCTGTACAGGTACATATCACATGGTCTATCTATAAAGGTACAGATCACATGGTCTATCTATACAGGTACATATCACATGGTCTACCTGTACAGGTACAGATCACATGGCCTATCTATACAGGTACAGATCACATGGTCTACCTATACAGGTACAGACCACATGGTTTACCTAAACAGGTTAACATTAGGTGGTCTTCCTATACAGGTACATATCATATGGTCTATCGATACAGGTACGGATCATGTGGTCTATCATACCTGTACAGGTAAATATCATGTGGTCTACCTATACAGGTAAATATCAGGTGGCCTACCTTTACAGGTAAATATCAGGTGGTCTACTAAAACAGGTACAGATCACGTGGTCTATCTATACAGGTAAATATCATGTGGTCTACCTATACAGGTAAATATCAGGTGGCCTACCTTTACAGGTAAATATCAGGTGGTCTACTAAAACAGGTACAGATCACGTGGTCTATCTATACAGGTAAATATCATGTGGTCTACCTATACAGGTAAATATCAGGTGGTCTACCTTTACAGGTAAATATCAGGTGGTCTACCAATACAGGTACAGATCATGTGTGCTATCTATACAGGTAAATATCATGTGGTAGATCACATGGTCTATCTATACAGGTACTGATCACATGGGCTACCTGTACAGGTACAGACCACATGGTTTACCTAAACTGGTAAACATTAGGTGGTCTTCCTATACAGGTACATATCACATGGTCTATCTATAAAGGTACAGATCACATGGTCTATCTATACAGATACATATAACATGGTCTACCTGTACAGGTACAGATCACATGGTCTTTCTATACAGGTACTGATCACATGGTCTACCTGTACATGTACAGACCACATGGTTTACCTAAACTGGTAAACATTAGGCGGTCTTCCTATACAGGTACATATCATATGGTCTATCGATACAGGTACGGATCATGTGGTCTATCATACCTGTACAGGTAAATATCATGTGGTCTACCTATACAGGTAAATATCAGGTGGCCTACCTTTACAGGTAAATATCAGGTGGTCTACCAATACAGGTACAGATCATGTGGTCTATCTATGCAGGTAAATATCATGTGGTCTACCTATACAGGTAAATATCAGGTGGTCTACCAATACAGGTACAGATCATGTGTGCTATCTATACAGGTAAATATCATGTGGTCTACCTTTACAGGTAAATATCAGGTGGTCTACCAATACAGGTACAGATCATGTGTGCTATCTATACAGGTAAATATCATGTGGTAGATCACATGGTCTATCTATACAGGTACATATAACATGGTCTCTCTATACAGGTACTGATCACATGGTCTACCTGTACATGTACAGACCACATGGTTTACCTAAACTGGTAAACATTAGGTGGTCTTCCTATACAGGTACATATCATATGGTCTATCGATACAGGTACGGATCATGTGGTCTATCATACCTGTACAGGTAAATATCATGTGGTCTACCTATACAGGTAAATATCAGGTGGCCTACCTTTACAGGTAAATATCAGGTGGTCTACTAAAACAGGTACAGATCACGTGGTCTATCTATACAGGTAAATATCATGTGGTCTACCTATACAGGTAAATATCAGGTGGCCTACCTTTACAGGTAAATATCAGGTGGTCTACTAAAACAGGTACAGATCACGTGGTCTATCTATACAGGTAAATATCATGTGGTCTACCTTTACAGGTAAATATCAGGTGGTCTACTAATACAGGTACAGATCATGTGGTCTATCTATGCAGGTAAATATCATGTGGTCTACCTATACAGGTAAATATCAGGTGGTCTACCTTTACAGGTAAATATCATGTGGTCTACCAATACAGGTACAGATCATGTGGTCTATCTATACAGGTAAATATCATGTGGTCTACCTTTACAGGTAAATATCAGGTGGTCTACCAATACAGGTACAGATCATGTGTGCTATCTATACAGGTAAATATCATGTGGTAGATCACATGGTCTATCTATACAGGTACAGATCACATGGTCTATCTATACAGATACATATAACATGGTCTACCTGTACAGGTACAGATAACATGGTCTATCTGTACAGGTACTGATCACATGGTCTACCTGTACATGTACAGACCACATGGTTTACCTAAACTGGTAAACATTAGGCGGTCTTCCTATACAGGTACATATCATATGGTCTATCGATACAGGTACGGATCATGTGGTCTATCATACCTGTACAGGTAAATATCATGTGGTCTACCTATACAGGTAAATATCAGGTGGTCTACCTTTACAGGTAAATATCAGGTGGTCTACTAAAACAGGTACAGATCACGTGGTCTATCTATACAGGTAAATATCATGTGGTCTACCTATACAGGTAAATATCAGGTGGCCTACCTTTACAGGTAAATATCAGGTGGTCTACCAATACAGGTACAGATCATGTGGTCTATCTATACAGGTAAATATCAGGTGGTCTACCAATACAGGTACAGATCATGTGTGCTATCTATACAGGTAAATATCATGTGGTAGATCACATGGTCTATCTATACAGGTACTGATCACATGGTCTATCTATACAGGTACATAAAACATGGTCTACCTGTACAGGTACAGATCACATGGCCTATCTATACAGGTACAGATCACATGGTCTATCTATACAGGTACTGATCACATGGTCTACCTGTACAGGTACAGACCACATGGTTTACCTAAACTGGTAAACATTAGGTGGTCTTCCTATACAGGTACATATCATATGGTCTATCGATACAGGTACAGATCATGTGGTCTATCATACCTGTACAGGTAAATATCATGTGGTCTACCTATACAGGTAAATATCAGGTGGTCTACCAATACAGGTACAGATCACGTGGTCTATCTATACAGGTAAATATCAGGTGGTCTACCTTTACATACTTGGATGTTGATTTACACAGACAACTATTGAATTTAATACTCTAATGTATCACAGGGCAGGTGTCAGAGCTAATGGCACACAAGTTGTTTTCGTTTTGCCAAATACTAATTTATTATAAAAAGTCACATCTCTCAAGGATAAAGTCAACATCCAGAAATGAGATTCCACCAATAACAAATGGACACAACGGAAGGAACATAAATTATAAAAACAGAAATACTTACTGTTTCTGGCCTTGTTTAGCTGAAACAAAACCAAAAAATATACAATAAATGACTTTCAATGATAAAAAAATACAAACAAATCAAAAGGATAATAATAATATAATTTACAGTTTTGTCGTCTCTCGAACTACTGTATACATTACTGTCCTGTCGTCTCTAACTGCTGTATACATTACTGTCCTGTCGTCTCTAACTACTGTATACATTACTGTCCTATCGTCTCTCTAACTACTGTATACATTACTGTCCTATCCTCTCTAACTACTGTTAGATTACTGTCCTATCGTCTGTCTAACTTCTGTATACATTACTGTCCTATCATCTCTAACTACTGTTAGATTACTGTCCTATCGTCTGTCTAACTTCTGTATACATTACTGTCCTATCATCTCTAACTACTGTATACATTACTGTCCTATCGTCTGTCTAACTTCTGTATACATTACTGTCCTATCGTCT